CTATGTTAAAGGAGACATTAAGGGAAGAATTAAAGAGCCTTTCCTCAGCTTTCAAAGAATTCAATAACTATTATCATGGCTGCCATTTAGGTACTTCTGGGTAATTTTACTCCGTTAGGAAACTTCCTAAGCCCAAAATACCCTAACCATGATCTGAACAGAGATACAGGATCCAACAATTGAATAAGGTTAGACTGAAGACAATCCCAACATTAAACACAGATTTGAATCCCATATGAAATGTAGATTTAAAGGTAGGGTAGGTAAGAATGGAGAAACCAGCTCGAGTGCACGAGAATTTGAAACTACACAAACGGAAAAAATCGGCCCCTTCCTTCAGACTTCCTTACAGAGCCCCTCCTCCAACACACACGAACGCGCACATGACCAATGAGGGCACGAGATAAGTTTGTGCACAGATGGAAGGCTGACAGGCAGGTAGGCCATCCAGTTATTTAGCCGGGCCGGCTAAAATGATTGGTCGTGCTTTTTACAGCGCCACGGCTTCCACAGATGACATTTTTTTAATGTATTTATTGCCAAAGCATTTAATATATTCATTGCTATCGGGATGTTAAGAGCATTCCATGGAATATAACAAAAAGTGTTTCTGAAGTGAATTACCTACCCTACCTTTAAGGGCCTTGAATCCGTTGTTTTTAGTAATGCAATGTTATGTTAAAAGTATGTTTCCTGTCTTAAATATTTGTCGATGCATATTTGTGACAAATGTCAGCCTTAATCTGACAGTCATTTTTTATCCTTCAAATCTGTATTGTAGGAGTTCCGTGTTGGTTTTGGTGTGAGAGTTGTGGATGAAAGTGATAGTGTTCACCCTCCAGCTGGTCCTGTTGTAGGGGCCAGCTGTAGCCCCCTGCCGTGCCACTTCATTGGGAATAAACACTCATTTCAGAGGACAAGTGCTGCTTCTATAGTGTGGAAGTAACCCTGCAACACAGCACTGGTTGTTTGTTTGGCACAGAATCAGCCTTTTTCCACACAAAAAAGTCCTCCCCCCCCCCCCCCCCCCCCCCCCCATAGCCGTTTTGTATTTCATACCCGCTGCAGTTTCTCAGGAAACATCAGTAGTCGCATAGAAACTCATCCACACACACACACACACACACACACACACACACACACACACACACACACACACACACACACACACACACACACACACACACACACACACACACACACACACACACACACACACACACACAGTGCCACGAAAGCGGCCATGATGATGATGATCCGCGGCTGTGTCAGTTATTTATAACTTTAAACTTCTGTGGCTAAAAGGCAAAGGGGCAGACAGGAAGGGAACGGCAGAGATGTAAAGGAGGAGAGATTTGCAGAGACAGAGGGAGGAGAGAGGGCTCTGGAGGAAGTGATTCAGGGACGAGGGTTAGACGTAGGCATGGGAATGCAGTTACTTTTAGCAGTAAGGACACAACCTCTGCTGTCACATGTAGCCCTTTAGCCGTGAGATAACGAGACGCAGCGTCAGACAGATGCATGGAGCTGAAGGCTTTCATTAGGGGAAAGGACAATGACAAATGGAGCTGTATAACCCTAAATAAATAACCATGATTACAGCGTTGGTTCAGCTTTTATTATAGCCACACTTGTAATTAATAACAAATAACACAAGGAGGAAAGCCTGAAGTGCCTATAAATAACATTGTATGGCACAGGCTGAGGAATGCAGTATTTTAAAGTAACAACCTTAAAGGTGGGGTAGGTAATTTTGGAGAAACCAGCTCGAGTGTGCTAGAATTTGAAAATACACAACCGGAAAAAATCTGCCACTTCCTTACAGAGCCCCTCCTCCAACACACACGAACGCGCACATGACCAATGAGGGCACGAGATAAGTTTGTGCACAGATGGAAGGCTGACAGGCAGGTAGGCCATCCAGTTATTTTAGCCGGGCCGGCTAAAATGATTGGTCGTACTTTTTACAGTACTACGGCTTCCGCAGATGACATTTTTTTATGGATTTTTTGTCAAAGCACTTAAGATATTCATTGCTATCGGGATGTTAAGAGCATTCCATGGAATATAACAAAAAGTGTATCTCAAGCCGGTTTCTCAAACTTACCTACCCCACCTTTAATTGTTTTCGGGAAAATTATTAATTATTTTACCACAATAAAACAAGATATGTATATTGTTATGAGAGACTTGTTAGGAGAAAAACATCACATCTATTTATTGTTATTAAGAATATTTATATTAAAATATGTAAAATGTTCAGGTCTTATCAGTAATTATTGGTAATATTTCACACCAATATATACTTTATTTATCTTTCTTTTAAACTATTCAACAAGTGTAAACTACTTTGATGTACAAGATATGAATAATTTAATATTAAATACCAAACAGTAATCAAACAGTACACGTTTTAAGTCGTTTCCAACCTGTGAGTCAGACTCCTTACAGGGTCTCAAGAGAAATCTGAAGCTTCACAAAATCCTTTAAAGTGATAATTGTGTCCGATTTTTCTCAAATATTCCCTTTTGCCTTAGAAAGTTTTGTCTTTCAGGGCTCTTGGCTCGTGTGTGTGCATTCACAATCACACGTGTCCGTCTGTATTGAGCAAAGTGGGGGTCGATGCCTCCTGAAAGCCAAACTCTGACAGCCGTTTTGCTGCTGAGGGGGGGTTCTTAATTTGACAATAGAGAGGGAATCGCAATGGAGCGAGCCAGTGTGAGCGACTGAGCTAAAGAGAGAGAGGGAGGGAGCAGAGGGCAGGGGGAGGAGGGGTATCAGACTCGGGGATAAGGCAGCTGGGACATGCTGCTTGGCTGGAAGCAGATCTTATTGTGAACTCGTCCTTCTCAAGTCCCTGCAGAGGAAGAGAGAGCTTGACAAGATTTTTATAATTTCTCCATCCTCCGAGCTCATTTGGATCTACTTTATTTTTCTCAACACTGACAGAAAGAAGACTTGTTGGACTTTAATTAGCTTTCCCATACTTTGATTTTGTATCTGTTATGGCGCTGGTGTAGGCATGGTGGTCTCCTTGAGGAAGAGCCTCCACTCTCTGCTGTCTGTCTTCAAGAAGAAGGGTGAGTGCTGACTCACGTGGAGGAATTTGGCAGACTTCAGGCTGCTGACAGACACTTGTTTATACAACGTTAATACTCGGTTTCTGCAGTTGAGCTGACATATTCCAATACGTTATATACCATTAAGCGGTCGTGTCGCACTGTGAATGTTATAAGGTGATGGATAAGTAAGATATTCTTATTGTAAAGGTTTTAATTAGCTGATTTTGTGCACAGCTTATTGCCTCTCTGTCTCATATATAGACACACTGGTAAGAAAGCATTAGTATTAAAGGCAGTTCGGGGATCCTCTCTAATCAGATAAAGGGCTTAACTGACTTTTTTTCTGGGTATCGTCAAAATTGACTAAAATCCTCCCTTAGGGGTCTTGTGGAATCTCATTAAGTGCTTTTCCAATTAATAACAACTAGCACCTTAACTGTGAGACTTATTCACTCAGAGGTGGTCGTTTTGTAATGAACTTTGTCTCCGTTTCTTGGATTGCATCAGAAAGTCCCAGGTTCACAATGACCTGAGATTTCCCACAGCCACACACAGGGGAGGGCATTGTGTCTGGGCTGCCTCACCTGTGTGAATTCATGAGGATAGGGGTGTGTGATACCTTACACACGCACGCACACACACGTACAGTATGTTCACCCACAGTGTTCCCTTATCAACTGAGACTGAGAGCCCCAGTGTTGAGAGTGACAAAGGGAGGGAAAGCGGACACCTCACTTTGACATTTGATTAGTTAATAACAGACAACATACAACTTGGATGTTGTCTGTTATTAACCAGAGCAATGGCTCGCCAAGTGTGAGGTCGATCAGATAAACGCTTTGTGATGAACTCTCAAGATAGACGTGCAGAGAAACAGAGACCACTTTTATTAAATGTATTCAGTTCAGATGCCCTCTGCAATGACATGATTAATGGATTGCTTAAAACGCTGGTCTAGTCTTTGCAACCCACACACACATTCTGGTTCAAAACCTGCTCATCAGGAGCGATAAACATTGACTCCACTTACACACGATGGATGTTCAATCAGGAGTAAAGTGGATTGTTGACCGCAGGGGCCACGGATCCAACCACCAACTTCTTGACAAAATAAAACCATCTTAAGTGATCTCATCAAAAACAGACAATAATGCAACAGTATTGAAGACAAGGGAGGGCTTCCACTGCCTTAATCATCAAATATTATTGTTGTGTCCACATACTAAAGACAATAAAATATAAGGCTAATCCTCTCGTGCACACTGTCTAAAAGTATCACTGAACCTGCTAGCTTGAGTAGTATTTTATTTTCTGTTAAGTCTCCACTTTTTCGGCTGTTCTTTGACATATTGTAAAGCCATCATTAAGGGAGAGCCTGGCTCATTGCCCTTGCAGGAGGTCACTTGGTAGGGGGTCCAGTGGCATCTGAACATGGGGACAATCCAGATTATCTAATCCCCCATGGACTAGCGAGGATACTGCAGAAGATTAACCCGTCAATAGTTCACTGTAGAGAGCCCAGTCTGGTTTGGACGTATGCCCACACTAACTGCTTGGAGTGCTCTACATCAAAGGTGCACAGAAACAAACATAACCAAGAGAAGTGGAGATGCAAAGGGTTGTTAAGATGTAAAACTGATCATTTGACATGTTTTGAGTATGTTTGGATGTGGGTTGGCGTTTTTTTTCTTCCTAAGAGCACAAATAATACCTCAAGAAAGATGTTTTAAATAGCTTGAAGTGTGGTATTTTTGTTTAAAATGGGCAAAATGGCAGATACACATTAATAAGTATGTGTAATAGGTTGCTGTTGAATGATCAATGTTGGTGCCTGGTATCCATTCCTACGTATGGAGACACAACAGCAAACGTTTATTACCATATATAACCATATCACATTTTTCTTCTTCTCTCTTTTCCCTGTCCTCTTGATCCCAGCTGGCCCAAAGGGGAATGAAGAGCAGAAGAGGTTGACCGTCCACTACAGCACCTCCCAGCACTACCAGGAGAATGTGTTCATCGAGGGCAGCAGGCCACAGTACCTGGAGGATCTGCACACTGAGGCCCAGGAGGGGCTCAAGATACAACAGCAGGAAGGTCAGAGGCAGCACTAAAACATATGAGCTCACACTGGAGACACCAAATGGCATATTATTCACACAAATGTACAGTAAAGTTGGAAAATATAACAGATTTGTGTTTCTCAACGGTACTTTTCTATACGAAGGTCACTAGCTAGAGCTTCAAATTAACCACTTTCTGTATCTATGATTCCAACACTAATTTTAGATACTGTATATTCATGATTATATGGTTGGAAATGTAGTTATTGAGCTTCCTCGTTTGATTCTCCTCTTTTTTTGTTCCAACAGAATACCCAAATGGACTCAACTTACCTGACAATGAGAGCATTGCTGTAAGTTACCCCCGAATGCTGAGTGTCATTTTTCCTTCACACAAAGAAAGCCACCTAACTTAAAACTGGTGTGTGTGTGTGTGTGTGTGTGTGTGTGTGTGTGTGTGTGTGTGTGTGTGTGTGTGTGTGTGTGTGTGTGTGTGTGTGTGTGTGTGTGTGTGTGTGTGTGTGTGTGTGTGTGTGTGTGTGTGTGTGTGTGTGTGTGTGTGTGTGTGTGTGTGTGTGTGTGTGTTTTAATCTCCTTCAGTCCACAGACACTCTGCGTCCGGAGCAGGATATCAGCTCCAAGGACGACGGTGGCTCTCCGGAGTCGAGGTCCACCATGGGGAGCACTGATACCACGGTAACCTCTGCTGTGTCCACCAGGCCTGTGCTCACTCGTCAAGGTAAACCACAGCTGTGTGTGAGAAAGACACTCTGAGAGGAAGCATCCATATCTGGTTCAACTTAGTGAAATAAGAGCTAATCACAGTGCTTTTGCCTGTGAATGTTAGAGCTTTTGTTCCTGCGTCATAAGCGTGTACTTACTTAGCATGTGTGTCTTATTCCCAGCTGCTTGGTGCCTGTGCAGATATGATGTGAATTCAAAGGGAATACGACTTCACACACACACAGCACATTTTTAGTAACTCAACAGTTCTAAGCATCTGAAGACAGCACTGCGGCTCCCACTGCATATCACAGCTAGGGCACAGTGTGCCGTGTGATTGGTATTCTGGTCCATATTTTAAACTTAATTCAAATCCTCTGGAAAAGCCAGTCTTGTAATATTCTTCCCTAAGTCGTTATGCATTCTAATGCATTGCAGATGGATACCTGCTGGTTACGAAACACAATGAAACTGTGCCTACTAAATACAGACACACTGAGTCTCTAACTTCTGTTAATTCACGTCCTAAAACTATTCTTCTTGTGAAAGCTTTTTGTATTTTATTTTTATTTTATATTAACCTATTTATCTGAGCCCTTTCATTCATATTGTCTTACTTTCTCTATGCTCATGTCCTTTGAACACATTTGCTATGCCTTGTTTGGTTTTGTTTGCATGTGTAGAGCAATTTGTAACATTGTTAAGTGAAGTGCTATATAAATAAATGTATTTATTAATGTATTATTCCTCCCATTATTTTCCCAACTTCTTCACCTGTTCCAGCTTTTTCAGTGCAAAAATAATATAGTATTAAAAAAATGTTATCTCTCTTTTAGGGTCAACATTCAAGCCTCTGAATCCAGTGAAAAGACTAGATAAGAGCAGGAAGAGGGGCAGGAGGACCACCATCATGGGCATACCCAACCAGGTCCAGAAAGAGCTCGGTATGTCCACACATTCATCTTTGCTAAACTAGTAGACTTCAAATATCGTTGGTGGTGAACTTGTTATTGATGGTATTATACCCTCTTTTCCAGCATTGCACAGAAGCTTCCAGCAGCTTGTTTCTACCCCGAATCATGACGGAAATCTCAGTAACAGCCAATCAGGCGTAGTTATCATTCCTACAGTTGATGGAGGGACTCCAGAAGCAAAAACGGAGGGAGCAAGAGTGCACCTTTCAGAGCTAGAGGTAAACAATTCTCCAGAATCATTTGTTTTTACATGCATTACTGGTTTTTGTGTTTTTTTTTCACATAAGAATGGTGCTCACTTCACTCCTAAACAGGCATCCAGAGATGAACAGCTGCTGAGGAAGCAACTCCAGGCAATGTACCAAGACGAGCAGCCTTTCAACCACCAGGGCCTTGGCTCCTATCTCTGCCCCAACTCATCCATGAGACCCAAGTCCCTTGCAGTACCTGGCATGACCACTTCCTCCTCCTTCTGTCCTTCAACGATGTTAAGCTTCCTCCAGGAACGCCAGGTAAAATGTAATTCAGTTAGCTCGGGATACTGCTTTGAATTCAGTCTTCTGTATTTGACCAAATCCTGAGTTGCCCATTTAAGACAAATTCATTTTTTCTGTGTTTTGTTTCTAGGGCCCAGTGATGTCCATGTCTCCCCAGGCCACCTATATGTCTACAATCATCCCTAATGCAGTCTTACCCAGCTCGATTGACGTCATAGAGATCGACCGCAGCTGTAGCCGGACGCGTGGCGGCAGTGTAAACCATGGCAGTAGTGTCCGCACCGTAAGCAAGAGCAGTCTGGCATCAGGGGACTTATCAGTCAGCCCTTTTTTGTCCAGAAGATCCGATGGAGATGGTTCTCAGAGTGACAATTCCCAAAGCGAATCCACACTGATGCTAACATCTGCTTCGGGGTTGAACTGGAGCGAGACACAGTCTTCAAAGATCATTATTTCAAACTCTTCTCCAGGATCTTCTAAGGGTAGCACGCGTAGTAGTAACTCACACAGAGCGGGTCCGAATGGGCGGGAGAGCCAGGCAGAGCAGTGTAATGGGGACCAAGACATTGACAGTCTGCGTAGTTCAGTTAGCATGATCAGCAGCTTCAGCAGTAAAAGAGAAAATGTTACAGGTCAAGAATCTGAGTCTGATGTTTCAGGGTCAGTAGCTGCTGGGGACGATGCAAAGACTAAACAGAATTGCACTCGCAGTCTGTCGGTTATGAAGACCAAGCAACCCCCGCCGCCACCACGGAGAACGAACTCTCTGCATAGTAATAAGATCAAGAGTAACTCCAACGTTCTGGTGGAGATCAATGACTCTGATGGTGCAAACGCCACAGAAAACAGTATAGCACAAGATGAGAACAAGTCAGTCAAGCTACAGAACTCCACTGGGTCAAGCTGTCTAGATGCTTCCTCCAGTCCTTTGAACCCAACACAGGCCTCTTCCACTGGAGGAGCAACAGAAGCAGAACACAGCAGCTACTCCCCACAGAAAACTCCCTCAGACGGGGGGAAATTTGAACGCACCATGTCCCCTTCCAGCGGCTACTCCAGTCAGAGTGGCACTCCAACACTCACCCCAAAAGGGATCTCCCCAACCCCCCCTGACAAACAGAAGAAGAAACCTGTCAAACCGGAGAGATCGGTGTCTCGGGCCTCATCTTCAGCAGCTTCTCCTTCCTCCTCGCTTACCTCTCTATCTTCTGGTACATCTGAGCCTGTCAATCCAGATGTTTCCACATGTAGCTCCAGCCTGCCTTCACAGGGATCTCAACCCACTGTTGCAGCAGATGAACTCACTCCGAATAACATTTCTTCAACTTTTGCAGCTGAGGTCAGAGAACTGTTGAAAATCCCTCCACCTCCCAAAGTCAAAGCGCCATGTCCTCCTCCTCCAGAGGCATGGGTTCACAACAACCGCACCTTTCAGTTACTGTGTGGGCCAAACCCTAATGTCAGCAAAGTACCCCAGAACCCAGCGCAGAAACAAGACAGCACAGTTAAACAAGCAGGAACCCAGACTGAAGACATCAAGGAGATACCAGATTCAGTTGAAAAACAATCAACTATATGCCAATCTGTCTTAGAAAGCCAAGTAAAGCCTGAGATGTTGTTAGAAACAAGTTCTGAAGGTCTTAACAAGGAGATGGAGAATAGGGAATGTCCAAATAACAAACAAGAGGAGATACTAGTAAGTTCAGATGTTCAAAAACAAGAGCAGAGTAGTAACCTTGTGGTGAAGGACCCTAAGAGTCCGAAGAAAGAGCCTCCTCCTGTCATGAAGAAACCAGTGACAGTACTGCACAAAAAGGAATTGGTGAAGAAAGAGAGTGTTAGTGCGTCTTCAGCGGTTCATTTGCCTGTTGAGAACCATACAACCACGTCTCAGGTTGTAATTGTCGTTGATAAGAGTGACAACGAAATGGCCAAAAGTGAGGTTGCATCAGTAGAAGTCCCCAAAATCACTAAGGTCTCGCCACCACCTTCTCCCCCCCCGGCATACCACCCCACACCTCCCCTGTCAAGAAAGACGCCTCCTTCATCAGTGTCTTCGCCACCAGACGACTTACAGAGGGTGCAGGAGGAGATCCACGTTGTGGAGTCTTGCTGGCCGCCCCCTCCACCTCCAATGGACGGAGACTCTGTGTTTGATGGAGGAGATGACGTTGACTTTCCACCACCTCCTCCGCCCTTGGTGACAGAAAGTCTAACAAATGTGATGGACAGTTGCGTCACAGATCTGGGTGAAACAAAAACACAGACAGAGGAGGATGAAGAGACTATTGATGATTCGAGTGAAGCCAACACATCTGCACATGGACAAATTGCAGACGTGCCCCCGGCTGTACCACAAACAGTAACGGACATCGAACCAGAAGTTGTTGTGCAAGATTCAGAATCCAACATTGCAGAAGATACTATTTGCAGACCAGTGCAGAGTTTAGTATCCGTTTCAGACTGTGTCCAATCTCCACCAGTCGTGGCAACCCCTTTGGCATCCATTACAAAAGCAGATCACCCAATGTTGGAGTCTACTTTGGTTCCTCCAAGCAGTTCCCTGAAGCGAGACTCTCCAAAACTTGAAGATCAGTCTCCCAACGAGGCTCCCGTCAGCGCCCAACTTCCAGTTATTGTCCCAGTGGCACCGCCTCTACCAGCAGAGAGTTTGACCCAAGGGGTTAACTTCAGACGGCAACCAGGCGTACCAAACCGAGACGCCAGAAGCAAGGAGCTCCTTTCCCGCCACAAAAGTGCACTCATTCCTAAAGAGGACGCTAACATACCTCTGGTGACCCCTTCCCTGCTTCAGATGGTTCGTCTCAGATCGGTCAACATGACTGAAGATGTGGTGAAAGCGGAGGGGGAGGACAAAACAACAAATCAGGGAGCTTCAGTTCAGGACAATTGCCCAGTCACAGGAGCTCAGAACATTCCACAGAAGCCCATCCGCAAGTCTTTGTCACTAAAATCCCCCCCTCAGTCAGTAAAGACATCCTCGGTCGCCCCTTCCATGCGCTTACAGGAAGCCATACGTATGAAAACGGCCGCCATGTCTTCAAGAGGTGGTCTCCCATGCCGACTGGGCGTTAGATCCACCTACAGCTCTCTCGGGGAACACGGCGCTCTGTCGTTGAAATCAGCCGAGGGATCTGAAATGCTCAAGACTCCAGCATCCACCGCCAGCTTTATCTTCTCCAGGAGCACAAAGAAAGTTGTGATAGAGACTCCAGCTGCCGCCTCCCCTGAAGCTCAGGTGAGTCTGAAGCAGAGTTTGGCGGCCGAACTCATGCAGGTGTCTGACCAATCGAAGGCCACCGTTTATTCCAATGGCGGGGTGAAGTTGGACAGAGCTCCTCCACCGGTGGCAAAGAAACCAGCCTCTGGGAGCATCAGCCCTCCACCCAGTGCACCTGCTGGTTCAGCGAAGACGGACTTCAGTGTTGAAGGGAACGGAGCGATAGGAGCAGTGCAACATACGAGTGGAGTAACGCATCCTGAGATGACAAGTAAGAGCAAAGAAATGATCTGTTACTAGGCATGAGATGAGAGGAAAATGTCATACTCAAATACTTGCAATATATTATCCCCGTAATCATCAAAATATGCTTAAAACCCTTAAAAAATAACAGTTAAAGAAACTGGTGTCACTTTACCTTACATTTTGTTAAGAAAGGACACGTATTTTATTTTTTTTAAGAGAAGAAAATACATATATATTCAGGTCTCTCTAAATAATTAAGCGATCAATACATTTAAAAATATAATTATAAAAAATATAAAATATATGGGATTGTTTTGTGTTTTTTCTTTCTTACATAATTCCTATATTTATTAAAAATCTCTATTTTTTATTTATTAACCATTATAGCAGGCTTGACAGCTTTCTCAAGTCACTCGTGAGGATATTTACGAGTATCGCAATAATGGGCATTCACCACAATCAACTTATCTTTTGTGTTTGTGTCCTGATCCGTGACAAAATCCTTCTTGCCCCATCCCTATTTGTTTCTATGATTTTCTGTCATTTGCTAAGTTGTGACATACAGCCTTCATCCGTGTGTTTGAGCGATCTGCTGCTGAGTGTGTTAACTCAATAATGCTGATTCAGTACGAGCATCAATCAATAGCTACCTCTCGTCATGAAAACACAAAATGCTAATTCTAGCATTACCATGATCCTGAACGGCTAAGCAGTTCTTCATTGCCTGAAAGCGTTTTGTTGTTTTTGCTTTGCATACCAAAAAGAGAAACTGCAGACGCAAGCCCCATTTTTACACAAACACAATAGAAAAACTGCTGGCTTTTCCTTCAGCTTTTTTCCCAGTTAAGTCTGTAAACATGTCCTTCAATCAGCCTTAACCTGAAGCTTGTGATCCTGTCTCTGTGACTATATTACATACGGACAGAATACGCATTATGTGTGTTGCTGTAACTGTATAATGTCGATGCCATCATGTCTTACCTCATCTTTTCTTCTCTCTACAGCTACGAGAGTGACAGCGGACACAATTGAAACACTGTTTTGAAGACTTCAAGCAACTCACAGCAAGGACTGACATCACTGAAAGACTTCAACTCAACTAGAGTGTGTCTCCAAAAAGCCTTAGCCTGTAACGGCCTTCCTACATATTTATGCAAAAAAGAACATGTCGCTCCCAAATTTCTAATGATAGCTTTATTCTGGAGTATTTTTCTAAGCTATAGTTGATCTCTTATTATTGTCCCCTCAGGATGAAATGGTGTACATTGGCCTAACTGTAAATATTGAGCTTGTGTGAGATCGCCTCCCAGAGGTAGGGTTAGGTAGTGGAGCTCAGAGAAAAGGATTTATCCATGATAAAGCATTTCTGTACAGAGGTTTACTGTCTCTTAAGTCTTTTTATGCTTGTTGTAATATAATACATAATTAGGCAGTGGTCAGAAGAAGCTGACGATGGCATCTGCTTTAGAATAAATGGACATTTATATCACCAAGATCAGAGAAAAACTCATCGTTAAAGGTGGGGTAGGTAAGTTTGAGAAACCGGCTCGAGATACACTTTTTGTTATATTCCATGGAATGCTCTTAACATCCTGATAGCAATGAATATCTTAAGTGCTTTGACAAAAAATCCATAAAAAATTCATCTGTGGAAGCCGTAATACTGTAAAAAGCACGACCAATCATTTTAGCCGGCCCGGCTAAATTAACTGGATGGCCTACCTGCCTGTCAGCCTTCCATCTGTGCACAAACTTATCTCGTGCCCTCATTGGTCATGTGCGCGTTCGTGTGTGTTGGAGGAGGGGCTCTATAGAGTGGCGAAGTCCCTCCCACTTACTTCCGGGGTATGGGACCTTATTTCGGAAAAATTATGCATTGAAGTCAATGGGGAGAGAAAACTTATCTTTCGATCCCGTTTGAATTGTGCCATGAATTACACATATGATGTTTGTCAAACTTAAAAAATCATTTCCATGTCAAAAAAGTCACAGTTTGTCGTAAAACTGTTGAAATATAAGACTATGAAAAATACGTAACTAGAAAGACTACAAATCCCAGAGTCGCGTAAGTGATGTCACAATTGTTTACCTCCACCATTCAGATACCTAAGATCAGCGCAATATAGATATAATCTATCTATATGGCGCTGGCTAAGATAAGATAACTTTAACAAGATGCCTGTGTGCTTAGTACCAGGTTGTTATTATACCAGCAATGGGTCTTGCTCGTTCTTTTGCTTCCCGTCTGATGAAACGACCAGGAGTGGCTTGATCAAGTTAGCTACCTAGCTAGTAGCTAGCACGTTAGTTAGCATTACAGCCTTGTCATTTTTATTAGCCTTAACATGAAGTAACATTAAGTAACCCAAAATGTTAAACAGTAAGAGTAGTAGTCATATTTCGTGAACCCTTTGAATAGTACTGTCACCGGTGTGATCATTCTATAATACACCATTTAATTCCGGGGGAGAAATGCTAACGCTAACGTTAGCATCGGCGATCTTTTCTACTTCATGCTATCTGCACAAATGGTTGACATTAAACATTAAAACGACCAGGCAGTTCAGAGAGAATCAAAGGAAGGCAGGCAGGCAGCTTTGCATGACATTCTTCAGGACGTGTTTCATTGTGGTGATAGTCAATCGTTTGTTGACAAGACAGTAGTGACGGCCATCTTGGTGACGTGTGTGGTTGACGAGAGATGTAGTTCATTTAGCGTTTCACACAAACAAATGTGTTACTTCACAGTTTTACGGCACATTTTTTTTTTTTTGACTTGCAAAATTATCTTTTAAATTGACAAACATCATATGTGTAATTCGTGGCACAATTCAAACGGGATCGAAAGATAATCTTTCTCTCTCCATTGACTTCAATGCATAACTTTTCCGAAATAAGGTCCCATGGGGCTCAACCGGAAGGGGAGGGACTTCGCCACTCTATAAGGAAGTGGCAGATTTTCTCCGGTTGTGTATTTTCAAATTCTAGCGATCTCGAGCCGGTTTCTCAAATGTACCTACCCTACCTTTAAAGGTGGGGTAGGTAATTCACTTCAGAAACACTTGTTATATTCCATGGAATGCTCTTAACATCCAGATAGCAATGAATACATTAAATGCTTTGACAATAAATACATAAACAAATTTCATCTGTGGAAGCCGTGGCGCTGTAAAAAGCACGACCAGTTATTTTAGCCTACCTGCCTGTCAGCCTTCCATCTCGTGCACAAATTTATCTCGTGCGCGTTCGTGTGGGTTGGAGGAGGGGCTCTGTAAGGAAGTGTCAGATTTTTTTCGGCTGCGTAGTTTCAAATTCTTGCGCACTCGAGCTGGTTTCTCCATTCTTACCTACCCTACCTTTAAATTCACTTTTACTCCTGCTTTTTTTTAAACTTCGGATAGCTATATCTGGAAATGTATTAGATGCTGCACAATAAAAAAAGTAAGATAATTGTCAACTGAGACACTTTTGCAAAAGCTACAGATTATAAACCATTTAAAAAGCATCTGATTACAGCAGCTGTCTTGAGACGCTTCTTCACAATCTGCACAATCTGTTCCTGGGTTTAGTAAAGGTCAATCCATTCTGAGAAACACGTCAGGACAACGGTAACACGAGCGTCCTATTTATTTATGTGTGGTTCTTTCCACTTGTAGCACTGTCGGTCACCTTTTCCTACCAAATATGAAATATTCTAGTTTCATCTGACAAACCGCTCTTAGGGCTCTGGCTGTGATGTAGCCCGGGATGATTGATACACTGGAGTAGCTGAGTGTGAGGTCAGTGTTTTATTAAATGTGCTGCATCTAAAACTGTGGCCCAAGCCTTTTTTAGTGGAAAATCCAGCTTATCACTATTTGCACAAAATGCTTTCCCCCAGCAAAATCATCAGAGTGAATTATACTGACTCTTCGTAAAGGGTCACCAATCTTGATGATTATAAATAATTATGTACAGTTATTACTTCTATAAATAAAATGTAAGTGTATTAAAAATGCATCTCTCTGCTTTGTTTCTTTAATGTGTGTACGTGTCTCATATATCACAAGTATATTTCATTTCACACAATTCAGCCAGCGTTTATTCAATGTTAAAGATGATGCATCATTTATTTATGACAGTTAATGAGCAGATATTGATTTCTGTACACTATCCTCAATGCAACCGTTCTGTTTTATAACACAGCCCTGACATTAACCATGAAGGCAATTTAAATCAAGAAAAGCATTAAAATATGAAGTCCCTTTTCACCCGAGATCCTTATCAGCTACTTCCAGGAAACAGTTATTTAATAAATCTGAGTAGCTGTATGTCTCTTTAGCAGAAACTGTTTTTGTATATTTAAGTGTGTTAGGAACACCATACAACACCAGATAAAAACAGAAACAGTAATGAAACACAGGATGATTAAGTGAATTTCTATTTTAAAAATGACATTTTCTGATGGACTCAAAGCAAGGTAACAGGATTTGTCGAAGCTCGCACGAAGAGACTTTTGGCATCGATGTCGAAGTTTGAGCAATGTTGAAGTGGTGATTTGTTGAATCTTGTTTGTAAAGCAGCCGACAGGAGAAGCTTCAGAGGTGACTGTAAAGTTTCTAGCTGATGTTTCCTCCTTTGAGTGTTTTACATGTGATCTGTCCCAGTTTAGTCATCAGCTGGTTGTCCTTCCACTGAGCTACACACTCGTCTGATATCTTCAGGTCAGCCTGGAGAGACAGAGACAAAATAATATATAAACAAATGACACATTTTATCCCAATAAGCCGTTATTACATCAAAGAAACCTCCTAAAACACATCAATCCAAATTGGATTGTCAACCCTTAGATGCATAAGTGGGTCTTTTTTGACCCGGTGAGGTGGTTTTCTTATGGCGCGTTTCCACTACACGGCCTCGCTCTGCCCCGCTCGGTATGGCTGGGCCTCGTTAGGACTGGCTCACTTTATGGCGCATTTCCATTACAGTTTAGGAACTGGAGCAGTATCTATAGTAACGCAGTGTAGGCGGAGCCGTGACGTGATCTTCAGAGGACCCCAGAAAAAACAACACAGCCGTTAGCTGTTAGCACTCAGAGCTCACAGCTCCTCATATATGTTCAGAAACTAGACAAAAGTTAAACAAGTACAAACCACAGACTGCCTGTGTCATGGTGAATACAGTCGCTGCTTTATTTATGTCTGTATAGGCCGTTGTTGTGAGTGTGGACGGTCGGAGCATATACTGCGTTAGCTTAGCCAATCTCCATTTAGAAAACAAGCATTTTAAAAGGTTTTTCCCCTGCCGTCTGTCTGCAGACTTGACAAAGCATTAATTTATGGTTTTTACTAACCGGTATCAGTATGTTGTTACTTCGGCATCATTTTGAAACGTGTATTACAATTAAATCACGGTCAAATATGTCCATCTTGTTGTAGTTGTAGCCCCCTTGCCAGCGACGCTCTCTCTAGTTTAGCATACTCAGCCCGACTCAGCCTCGTTGTCTCTGGCCCTGGACCCATGATTTTATGAGGCCAGACAAACTGTGAATTAGGACCCGCCGGCCGGTACTAGGCCAAGTGGAAACGCAACCAAAGATGGGCCGCTGACGTCACAGCCCTCTTAAACCGGGCTGCGCGCTGTAGTGGAAACGCGCCATTAGAGTATCTTTGTAATTACATTTTTTTATCATTTCATATTCCAGCTATTCCTCAAAAAACATGTTTTGGATATCATGCCATTTACATTTTTCAATTGACATGTTATACATTTTAAGAAATTGTAGTTTTTGTATTTCTACCCCAAGCTTCCATAAGTGGGTCAAAAATGACACGCATGCATTTTCTATGGAATTACATTTTTTTTTTCAAAATGTAAAAGAAATGTCTAAAATTATAAATAGTGAAAAATTAAATATAAAATATTTCTAGTGTGAACCAAAATATAATACTAAATATTATAAAAGTGATTTTTCTTAACCAAAATGACAAAAATGGCATAAAAACACATATTATTCTAATACGGGTCCTTTTTGACCCACTTATGGAAGCGTGTAGGGTCCAGTCACTCGTGCATCGAAGGGTTAAGAAAAACGAGTTGTGCTTGTAAAATCTGAGTGAGACCCACCTGTACTTTCTCCCACACTTTCTTCTTTGGGTTGAGTCTCTCGTCTGGTTTTCCCGTCTCGTATCCCTCAACGAAGACCCGGTCTCCAGGCGACGACCCCTCTGGAGGGTTGAGAGGCTCCACCCTCCTGGGCTCCCCTTCACTAGAAACCAGATACAAGAGAGGAATTTTACACAAATACAAAAAAATGAGGGATGGCTGTGTCTCTTGCTACAAAATCAATTCTCCATTCAGAACATAGGGGGGCTGAATTCAGGATCCACAGCAGTCCACTGAGTGCTAAGGAAGGCGATGTGGCAGGAAAGAGTAAGGGGGGATTAGATGATCAACTTTGATTATAGAAAACGGGCAGAACTAAACTAAAGGTAACATGTATTCATGCAACACTGCAAAAACTAAAAAAGTTTTACTCTCAAAATGTTAGTATTTTCACATTTCTCAGTGCCCTCGAGAATAAAAACTGGTTCTTGATGTATGACGGGGCAATTGTTTTATTCCCAAAGTACTGAGACCATCTACTGCATTTTATCTAAATGTTTTTTCAAAATAACATTTCTTAACCTGTTCCACTCTGAGCCTGTTTTTCAGGTCTCAGGCTCGAAAATGACATTCCCAGAACAAATGACCATATCTTCCCTTCTAAAAGGGTTAAATTAATAATCTTTGTTCTCAAAGTAATGATAAACCTGTGAGTTGGATGTAGAAGTGTCAGAATCAATATAAATGTTTTTTATTTTAAAGAAAATTCAGATTTTACATAGTAAAAAACTGTAAATTATAGTGTCCGTCCAAAAATTATTTTTTACAGATAGTGAAAACTACCCTTGGATGATGGGTTAGTAGACTAAAAGCTTTAGGAATCCAAAGTACAACATATAATAAGTACCCTGTATCAAGATTGATGCAAAACAAGTGAAATTTGACCTTTTTAGAGAGATTTAGCCAAAAACTGGGCCATCTGGGGTCATTTGGGTGGATTTGACCTATCTCTGGCCCCCCTTGCTCGATTTGGTTGGTTGACATACCCTTGTGACCGTTAGAGCCAATAGAATCGAAGGGGGAGGCTCCCACCCAGACACGTTGTAAAGAAAAAATGTGGTTGCTTCGCGTGTGGAAAACGAAACCAAAGTGGAGGAATGTCTCCTTCTGGAGTTTGGAAACTAAAACGCAGTTGTATTGCTTATGGATTATCAGAAATAATTTCAAAGAAGGCACAGACACATAGGATGAACCTATGGATTAACTGCAGCATCGTTTTTTTTATCGTTTTAATGCCATTGAAGACCACTTTTGACCAAGGTAAGCCATATTTACGTGTTTAGCTTCTTAGCTCCACATGTGATGATGTACGCTTTCGTTGATAGCGTCGCGAATGTTTATCACTGAGTGTTGAGGAGAGCACCGTTAGATTCAGTGTCTCCAGGACACCAAAAAAGAGTGGTTGGTTGTGCATCTAGGATAAGTAATAAGGGAGTTAGAGTGAGTTTAGTTGCCTTAGTATGTTAGGTTTTTTTTCGCTTGAGGCTAATTCAGAGGCTGAGTGCTAGCAATGTGGGGTTTTTTTGATTTTTTTTTTTAAAAAGATCAGTTAGCTGAGTTTCTTCCCGTTACATGGATATAACACATTCATAGTTTTATTCAATATTAAGATTCCTTAGACGTTGTTTCCTGCAAATGACGCGTTTATCCGCCCGGTACCGGGGGGAAGGTGTGAAACAGGTTGGTCCCCTATTATTCTGTTTTTCATCAATATATTACAGGTCTCAGATATATACAAAACATGTCTCTGAAGTGTTTGGCTCCAAACACCAAACAGATCATTGCAGCATCCCATAATCCCCTCTGTTTCAGCCCTGTTTCAAAAGTGCTGATTCTCTGTCTGTTACTTTAGATGAAAATAAGGAGCCACTCCCCACGCCCCTCTGAGAGATATTTGGTTAAAAAGAACACAATGGAGCTCTAGGAGGAGATTCAGGTGATAAGGTGTGGGGGGGGGGGGTTACCTTGGTTGGTGATTGGCTAATGGTTACACAAGCCAACAAATCGTTATGACATCATAAAGTGGCCAAAATCTGATCAGCTCATTTTCAGACAGGTTTTTATATAAATGGATCACGACAAAAAGAGAGAATATTTTTTCCTGAAACTTTCAGAGTCTCTTTACACAGAGGGGACACATGTTGATGTATCAAAGACGTGAAAAAGTGGATTTTGCATAATAGGTGACCTTTAAGTTTTTAATTGATTCAGAATTGTAGATGACAGTATCAAGATATTGTGGTTTGATTTCCCCCCCCCCCCCTGTCCATGAAGGAATGTGTGAAACAGAGAGCACACTCACATGGAGGCACACAGCAGCATGGCCTGAGACTCGATGCCTCTCATCTTCTGGGGCTTCAGGTTGCAGAGCACCAGCACCAGCCTGTCTTGCAGCTCCTCCTGAGACACAAACGCCACCAAGCCGCTCACCACCGTCCTCGGCTCCGCCTCCCCCACATCGATCTTCTCCAGGTACAGCGAATCAGCATCCGGGTGCTGGGATCCAGAACAAAACCATGTAAACAAAGAGAGAGAGGCTTCATATGGAAAAAACACTCAAAATAGTTATTGAGGCATCAAATGAGGATTTGAATGTCTTACCTTCTCCACACTGATGATCCTGCCCACCCTGATGTCCACTCTGGAGGGGGATAGATCATCATCATCTCCCCCTCCTGCTCCTGCCTTAGCAACTTTCCCTGCTGCTTCTGATCACACACACACACACACACACACACACGCGTTAGGTAGTTGACCTCCTTATATGCATATACACTGCAATTTCCTGCATTAAGAGAGGAAACACAGAGAGGATGATGGGTAAAATACTGACTCGTCTTTGAGGGGTAGGCGGTGTTGGAGAGTTTACGCAGCTCCGGGGATTCAAACTTCTTTCTGATTGGGTCCAGCAGCTGGTTCAGTGACGCCTCCACGGAGGCCTTCAGGTCTCCTGGATGCACCGACTAATACAAGATAGCCAATTATTAGATTAAATCACAATGAGAAAATAATCAGGGATAACTTTAAGAGGGGCTTTTATTCTGTAAATGAACCAGCGTGTGTGAACTCTACCTCCGCTGCAAAGTCCTTTTCCAGCTCTTTAAACACAGTGTAGGTTTTGTCTCCGCCCCACTTGGGATCTCTTTTGATGGAAAACTCTGAAACACATTTACAAATCACATTTTATCAGACTGACGCTTTTATCCAAACATGAGGATACACATTCAAAACAGCTGCAAATAAGCCAAACCTTTTGAAGTGCTTCATAAAGAAATGCAAACAATTTTTAAATATTCCTAATATTCTTCTTTAGTTATAATTGTATATATTTGTGCTGTGGAAAAGGCCCTGTCTTCCTCAGACGATGTGTCCCAGTGGCTGCACAGACATTTTTACTTTATTTTGTTATACCCAAGAAATAAATCAAGTATTCTGAGTCTGATATACTTTATACGATCAGAGTCTGAAGCCGAGGAGATGAGTTTTTTCTTACCTCCGCGCAGAGGGAAGACGACATATTGGACGAAGGAGAGGACTCCGTTGTTCTCGATGTTTCCCGGCTCACAGAAAGCTCTCTTCAGCTTCTTCTTCACGTCTCCAGCCGAGTCCAGCAGATCGATCTTTGACTCCTGCAGCCAAAGACATAATGTTATGACCGACCACAAACATTAGACGAAATTATTCATAGATGAACTCTTTTTGACAGTGACGTACTTCCTCTGAGGAGCTCATCTTGGCGCCCGTCAGGCCAGGTACCATCGGGTTCATCAGATGGGAGCGCTTAGCGTAGCCCAGAGAGGGCAGGTACTGCAGACAGACAGACAGACAGACAGACAGACAGAGACACAGACAGACAGACAGACAGACAGACAGACAGACAGACAGAGACACAGAGAGAGAGAGAGAGAGAGAGAGAGAGAGAGAGAGAGAGAGAGAGAGAGAGAGAGAAGGCTACAGTTACTCTTTAAGTTTTATACAGATCCCATTATGAAAAACGGTTTTCTTGGATCACCCAGCGCCATTAATATCTGTGTTTTATGGCAACATCTGTAACTTGTAAATGAGATAAGTAAATACGTTTTTTAGTAAAAGAGCATTAAGACACTCCCAGCTTTTCCTAAACTAATCAAGTTACGAAGAGCTAAGCGGAATGTGCTAAAAATGAAAGAAAAGGGGTGAGTTATGTAGGGAGGAAAGAGGGTGAGGAGTTTGAAATAAAGGATGCAAAGACTGAGGGAGACGGTACCTTCTCTGCCAGAGTGAAAATCTTCCTCTGGTCAACGCCTCCAAACTGGGCGTCGCACTTGAGGTACTCCTCATCCAGAGCCTGAAGGCACAGATAAACATATCAAGTCTTACATTCATTCACAACCACAAATATAACTTGACAAATTACAATTAATGAAGATCTGTAAGTGCACGCAGGAGCATATCCACTAGCTGAACTGACCTTTTATTTTTCCAAAACACCACCATTCATCATAGCCAGAAACATTCAAAATGTACTTTGGATTTTCCTTTTTACAACGGTCTTTGAACAAATCACATGTGACAACACTTGATTCTACAGAAATCATTTGAAATGCGACAAAAACAAACTATTTGCATGTACAGCACATGCAGCACGTTGATGGCATTATACCTGTGTTACACTACACAAACTGAATCTTTGAGTTCTGTCTTATTGTAGAAATGAGTGTGCCGTCTACTTCAAAGGTACACACAACATCTGGGTTACTAGCAGTGTAATTACCTGCAGTCCAGGGTAGAGCAGGCCGCTCAGCAGCGGATGATCCACCTGCTTCACGACCTCCGCTCCGGCCTTCTTAGCATCGTGCTCCGTCACCATGGAGGACAGGCGGTACACGTCCAGAGTGTACTCTCTGACAAACAGGAAGACACACAGAGCTAAAACATTAGTTCAAAATGTTTCTCAAAGCGTTTCTTGGGTTTCAAAGTGAGTCTATGGACACAAAGTTAAAGACACAAAAAAAACGAAATTCTCTCAATTTTTCTGGTTGTTCTTATGAAATGAATTAAAAGATAATTCACTTTTTATTTCCTTCCTAGAAAATTGCCCAATGTAATCCTGACAAGTATTTCATTTTTTTGTTGTTGTCATAACTGTTGCATATTTTTTGTTTACGCTTGACAGTTTCTGGTTCATACCGGTGTGCTTGTCTATTCTACGGAGTGTTGAATTGAATCCAGTGTGTCCTATAATAAGACAGGAACCATCTTTCCGTTAGGGCTCATCCTCCTTCTTCCATCAATGCGTTTCTGAATATTATAAAGACGTCCTTCTGTGTCACATCTGCCTCTCTGACGGTATTTGATGATCAGTTAGCTGCCGTATATGAACACAGTCTTCAGTTCTTGTCAGAACTACTGACCTGCTGAGCTGGAAGTCGGTTCCTTTGACGAACTTGAGTTTATCCAGAGGCACGCCGATGCTCTCCATCATGGCCTTGATCACCTGCTCATAGTACTTCACCCTGAGCTCCAGCAGCTCCCAGGGGGCCTTCATGTTGTCCAGGAAGGCATGCAGGTCTGCAAACAGAATAGTGACCTGAGGAAGAGAAGAAGAAACAAAGACACAAAGATACTTGTGATGAGAGCTTGGATTTAGCAGGACGTACAGTAAGTCACATTAATTAGATCTACCCTTTTGTTTTGGTAATGATTGAGTAAGGGTTTAGAAATCTGTCTTTCGATATTTTGAACAACATGAAAAACAAATAATATTTCATCCCTACTCACACAAGCATTTACAAACATGTGAAACACCCTAACACACACACACATACACACATTCACTTACACATAAGACAAGACAATGTTGGTGCAAAGTATTTCTTAAAATAAACGGATTTGTGGCTCCATTGAATCTTTGTAAATTCGATAATTGTTTGTTTTATTGTGTATTAGTACACAATATCTGGTTTTGTACACAATATCTGTTTTGTTTTTTTATTATTACCGCACATATTGTATTCCATTCTATCACATTGTAAATACTGCCATATTTGATTTTACTATATTTTTGATTATTCTTAATGTTATTATAGTCTTTTTATAATAGTTCTCTATCTGTGTTTTTTTTATTTTTTGTTTTACTTGTATGTATGCACCACGACACCAAGTCAAATTCCTCGTACGTGTCAACCTACCTGGTAATAAACCCGTTTCTGATTCTTCCGACATTGTTCTTTCAATACTCAAATAATATGTCATTAATGTTTTCCAATTCCCAAGAGATCCACTCACCTCACATCCCGCCTTGAGGAAGTCTGCTATCTTGGACATGGGGACAAAGTAAGCTATGTGGGGTTTCCCAGTGGTCGCTGTTCCCCAGTAAACCTTCACCTCTCTCTCCTGAAGAACCTGCTTCAGCTTCTCCTCTCCCAGGACCTCCTGCAATACACAAGGGTAAGGGTTTAAAGTCAGTGAGCTACAAAGGGACTTTAGTCACTGTGACTTCATGTTTGTTTGCTTGTCCCACCTGGAGGTTCCTGGTAATGAGCTGGAGCTTCTCATCCGGACTGAGCTGACCTGCCATGGCGCAGAGCCTGATGAGACGGGAGATGAGAGATAAAGTATAAATCAATCAGTCAGGATTATTGTAGGATTTTGCATAAACTGAATTTGTTTTGGTGTAATCGAGCATAGACTAAAAACACAAAATAGAGAAGCAAAAGCACCATTTAATGAAAGACTATATACAATGCAACTGTTTAAAATGAACGAGCCAGGCAAGAAGGTTTACAGTATAACTAAAATATAATATTCAATGCAGTTCAAACTCTATTAAATCAATGTTAGTTGATTGTTGCTCTCAGCCACAAACACAAATATAAGGTAACCCACAAATCTGTGGGAATCCAACCTACATTTTGCCATTTTATGGAAAAAACTGGTTAAATGATTTCCTATAAAACGAATTTACCAGAAAGCTTTGAGGTATAGGGATTTTATATTAAAGTAAGTTAGCAACTGGGAATCATCACGAAACATGGAGCTACTGGCTAATGTTAGCTATGTTTGTTTTGTATTACATCTGTAGTTTATTCTATATTTCAATACGTTTTACTTTGATCTGTCATCTGTTCTCCTGGCCAGCTCATCCTTAGCTGGCCAGCTCATAAAGAATGAAAAGGTTAGCTAATGCTAGCTGGCAACACAACCATGTGCAGCTAACGTCTCTTAGCTCCGGTGATGTTTCGGGTTATAATTACAATTTATTTATAACATACATGTTTTCAGTTAATCCAATAGCAATATCAGTCTAACTTAACGCCTGTACTCACCTGAAATCCTGTCTTGTTGCAGTGGGTCGGTGGTGAGTAAAGCCGGTGGGGAGGACCTGTCAGTGTTGCATCAGCGCGAGCTTCAGCTCTGCTATCGATTCACTTCAGACTCTAGGCGAAAGCAATCGAGTGCAGAGCCTATGATTAGGACACATGAAAATGCTTCATTGTTGATCGATCTATCTATCTATCTATCTATCTATAATCTTAATATTTTGTATCACCTTGCCGTTGAAAGACCAGGATATTTAGCCAGTTGCCTGCTGTGTCTAGTTGGAAACCAGCCTCTTTCCTCAGACTTTGAACAATAATAAATACACAAAATAAGAAAATACTGAATACATTTGAGTGCTCAAATATATTCAGTATTTTCTACAATATACAATTGCAATAGGCAACATAAAAATGTAGAAATACACTACAGAAACATATTGACATTTGATTATATATAAATTGCAATATGAATGTTCTACTTCTTCTGAAAATAATGTAATCTGATGTTTCTGTAAATGTAATATACATAGCTGCTTCGAAATAAGAACAACATGAATAGGTAATTGTTTCATTAACTAACCATCTGCTGCCACTAAAGGCAGCCTTAGTGCACCATTCCATAAAATAGGGACAACCCCAGGCACTAGATGGCAGCAGTTTACCATGAGTTAGAAAAGTACTTGGTGTGAACGCGCCTAATGTGTAAATTGTACTGGAGCTGCTGTATGTAAAAGTGCAACTGAAGGGGATTTAGCCTGTGTAATTATCCAAACATTTTGCTGATAATATCTCCACATAATGCCTGGTTTGATTGATATAGTTGCATATCAAAGCAGTTAGGTTCATTGGTATGTATTTGTTGTTTTCCATGTTGTTTTTGATCATTATTTATGTTATATAACTGCTCCAAGAACGGTTTCTGATGTTTTTTTGATAGCGTGTATAAGAAGCTGCTAAATAATAAATCATCTAAGAATGATACCATTATCTCATCAGTAGGCATTGGGTAATTGCCAATCATCCACATGATGTGTGTGTGATATAGGAAAACAGGTATTACGATTATGTCCGTTTTCTTTAATTGGCTGTTATAGTTGCTTCAAGTAAAGAAATGTAAACTCGTTCACAGTACACTTATCAATTAGTATTTATTACTTTTTTAAATCTCAACATCTTTTTCTTAAATAACTACATTAAAGTGTACAGATTTCATTTCACAGCCACAATTATCAAAGATATTTACAGGTTTACATACAATATATACATATGCACAGGAGACATGTTCACAAGGCTTTAGTGTGTCCCTGGAAGGTTAAAGCTCACACATTTGGCTACAGCCTCAAGAGTCATGAGGGGCGTCCACCGAAAGAAAACACTGACAAAATAAAACAGTTTACACAATGTACAATTATCACAGAGTTAGTGGGTGAAAATGGCACTGTGTGTTGGCATGTACAGTATCCTCTAGAGTTAGAAGAAACCTCAAAGAAAAACAAACACTCACAAATAACAAGTGAATGAAATATGAACATTTTCACATCGGCATCCCAGTTGTCAGAAACAACATGTCAATGATGTAACAGTATGTATAACATATGACACTTTATGTACACATTTTCCATATCAACGGATATGAAATATGTCAATCCACACTCTCACTGGGATTGAGATGATCACTAAGGTTGTTCAATAAACACACACATATACAGAAAAATGCACAAACAACTTTACTGCCCCATCTTCCATTTTTCATAACTATGTGCTTCCCTTTTTGAATGCATTTGGAGCAAAGTTGGTAGTGACGTCAACATGCATTAAAAGGCGTGTTAATGTTTTAAAATGTTGCTTCCACCCCATTTTCCACATTTTGAAACTTCAAATGCAGGTGGAACCTCAGAAGCCTTAAATATATTTTAATACTGCAAGAAGCATGACTTTCCAGCTAACATGAATTCAAAAACATTAAAATCAAAGCTAATATAAATATTTAAATAAAGATATAACTATGTCAGTACCGGCTCTAGTCGCCGTGCCGCTCATTAAGGAAATTAAAGCGTTAGGAGAAGAAAAGGCTTTTCCTGTCTTCAGTATTATATAAATAAGATATGTCAGTAATGTAGTTGCAAACTAAACTATTTTACTTTTGTAGTGGTTTCATTTGGTGGGGAACTAAACAAATTTCAAAGCTGTTACTGTCCCACCACTAATATCACATTATAATGGCTTCTTTAAAAAAAAAGCAAGTTGGATGGGAATGAGATGGAAAAATGGTTGGACTGCTTACAGTAAACACTGAGGATTAGTTATGAAATTACACACTTAAAAAGACATCCAAAACACCAAATCAATGGCACAAGAGCAAGTGGCTGAGCGACAGTTTTGCATTTTAACCCCAAAACAAGGTTGGTATTAAGGCGTAATCACTGTTTGTTCAAGTTTCTCACGATGTTCACATCTCAGGTTTTCTGTCCCGCAGTGCTCAAGGTCTTTAATGCTCAATGTGTTTTAAGCACAAGGATGGAAACTGTTCATCTGCAGCGAGTAGCACCGGTATAAAAAGGGTTACATAACGTCTTCCATCACATTTCATGCTTTTGTGCAATTTCAACTGAGAACAAGGCCAACCTTTAAAAAGAAAAAAGGGATTTTCCACAGTACTCAAAAGTAGTTATACAAAAAGTAAGGCTTTTGAGGTTTGACTGAACAAAAGAAGATAGTAGAGAGAATCTCAAGCAGCGGAAAAGTCACAAATGGGTAGGATGTTTGTTTTAGGCTTCAGCGCTCCTGAAGCTATGACACTTTCTGAGTCAATAACATTTCTTCAGACTTGGAACAGCAGCAGTGTGATTGGACAAGGCAGTGTCTGTATGATCTGGCAGGTCCATGGCAGTTGGTTCCACCCAGTGCAAAATGCCAGTCGATCACCCGATTGGTCTCTTAAATGTTCTAGATCATGTTGGCCAGCTCTGTCGATTCTGTTTCTGAATCTGCTTCGTTGGGTCCCTGCAAGAGAATAAAAGGCGTGACGTGCAGTGGCTCACACACACACCACACACACACACACCCACACACAGCACACACACACACCACACGCACACACACACACCACACACACACACACATCAACACACACACCCACACACACACACCACGACACACCACACACACACCCACCATCACACCACCACAACACACCACCACACGACACTACACACACACACACACACCACACACACACACACACACACACACACACACACACACACACACACACACACACACACACATCACACACACACACACACACACACACACAAACACACACACACACACACCCACACCACACACACACACACACACACACACACACACCACACACACACACACACACACACACACACACCAGTTCACAGCCTTACCTCAGTTCTTGCAGCAGTTTGCGGTTGCCCTGCCTCCTCTCCTCGGTGATGGGATAAAAGTATAATATCGTCAGGCCGATTAGGATGAGAACTATGGGGGCGGCTGAGACCAGCACTTTCAACGTTACATGCACTGCCTCTGGTTGAGTGCAGCCTCGACTGATGTAGCCCGCGAAACTAAAACAGAAAAAACATTATTCAATTAAAACAGAGAAACTCTCCATGTTATGCAATGCAGTAGTATGGTAGTGTGAGGGAAAGATTCCCATCAAATGTCTGATCAAAGTCAGTCATGAGGTGCATGCACGACAGACTTACTGTACTTAATCAAATGAAAGCAGAAGGAATGACTTGCTTTGATGTGGGATAAAGGGTGACTTTTGGCTAAGCCTGAGAAAGATTGAAACGCCTACAAGAATTGAATAACTTATAGACAATAGAGCTATGTGTGTCGAAACACTTACTCTAAACTGAGTGTGGAGACACCGAGGGAGACTCCAGATGCGAACTTGGTGAAGAAGACGTAGAAGGAGTAGAAGAGAGCTTCGTGGCCGGCGGAGTCGGGGTTCTGCACTTGGAAATCGTCTACAACATCGGGCAGCATAGACCTGAAAGATATACAAAATTAGTGTCACAGTTATAGACAAGAAAACATTAAAAAAGTGCCTGAGAAAGGACTCAAAAAGGGTCTTACCAGGGCAGCAGGAAGGCTGCAGCCACTCCCACCCCGGCAGCAAAGGAGACGATGTACGTGACGATCAGGTTACTCTTAACACACACCACCAGGATCATGAAGGGGACCACAGCCTGGAAAACACAGGAACACATTAACTAAAGCACACAGATCTGCTGAGATGTACTTCCTCAACAGGTCTCATAATGAAACCAGAGCTGTTTTCACTGCAATTGCTATAATATGAGCAAACTCCTGTCAATCTCACAGGCTTCAAACGACTTAGTAGTGATGTTTGGACGCGGTTGTGGGACTTACCAAGGTGCCAACGTAAACCGCCGTCTTTTTCCCAAAGCGGGTCAGGAACCACTGCCAGAATGGGATGGCCAGAGTAGCGGAAAGCTGAGGGGAGAAAAAAACATTCAAAGCCAGGTTAACCAGATGTTTTTGCTCTGACACACACTCTAGTAAATTCCACAGAAAGCCTGACAGGTTACTAAAATGATTTCTGTAGAAAAAATAAGGGAAGCCCCTCCGAGCCACAAAAAGCAATAGTAAAAACATTAGCTGAATTTTTAGAATGCTTTTGCTTCCGTTTTCGTTTCGACATGACATGAGCGCGGTGAAGCAGAAGCACATTGGACGTCTCCTACCTGCCAAACACAACAGTGAAGGTGGAAGACAATATGCTTTCTACGGCTCTTCCCAAAACACATTTGAGCTCAAATGTGATGCAAACCACCACAGGGGTCATCCTCTGACTCTACAGGTGGGCTCGCTTGGATCAGTTTGGCCTCTGACCCCTCCGTGTTTGACTAAGGTTAAGAGAACGACGGTGGTGCAACAGTATTTTTCCCCACTTTTTTTTTTTAAGGTTGAACCGATAGATAGACCACACAAACAGTCATGTGATTGCATATTTCTGTTCTGTGGTTTTCATTTTGACAATAACAGTAAACTTTTGTGTACCATTTCCTTCCCTTTTGCAAATATTTTGTCACATCAGCAGAATGTGTTCATAAACACAGTCACAGTGTTTCCTCTTTAAAGACACCACTCGCACTTTATTGCAAAAACATCAATCTCAACCCTATGAGCCTCATCAGCCTTTTCCTCATGAATAGAAGATAATTATAATTTAATTATGGCTATATATTGCTTAATATCTTCTAACACAGACTTCATAAAGCATGTCCGTCAATTCCTGCCAAATGAAAGTGAGTAGCACCACACAGCTATTGAAAATGTGTGAATTTCTACATGAAAACAATGTCCCATACAGCATGCTTTCTGCAACGTGCCTCACAGTAGCAACTAAAAAAGTAGACACAAGGCTCTGTTTGTTGTCCAAATGATTGAACTCCCCCTTGCTCTCATACAAAGTCTCATTACGTTTAACCTTTACTGTGTAAGCCCATCAACGGACAACCAGTTCGAGTTACAAGCACTTATATAATAGGATCGGAGTAAATCACTGAAGGTGATGATTAAGATCATTTTAGCCGTTTATGGAGCTGTTCCTGTCAAAGCTCACCGTCTAAAAAAGTCATTTCACTTTATAAATGTCTTAAAAAAAGATCAGTGCCTTGAATAATCCTTTCCATAAAGCAAAGGATCAAGAATGTAATCCTCAGTAGAGTTCTGCTACAGGAGGCACATCTATGGATTAATTGGCTTTAATACCTGTCAGGATCTGGGGTGATTCTTTGATGCGAGAGACCTTTCTTCCAGAGAGGTCAAGAGACATAAAAGAGAGGAGAAGTGATGTGGCTCCCTGACTGTCGGTGGGAAGGGGATGGCATTCAGGCTGAGCGCTGAGAGTGGACACTTATCTTGGAAACGAGCGGTCAGGAGACACTGCTTTCTAGAACTGCCTTGTAATTGAAGACAGTTTATGTGTTTGCCCCGGGGAGGAAAGCTTTTGTGTTCACTCTGAAGCTAATGGCTTAACTTATTCCACACAAATGGGGCTGCTACAGGTTTCATGTGCCGAGGTAAATGCGGTCATTGCCATGGGAACAGTGCACCCATCTGTCTGAAGGTCTGAAAATGTGTGTGTTTGTGAACTCACCATGATGACCAGCAGTATATTCTGGAAGTCGTTTCTGAAGCCCAGTGTGGAGCTGCAGAACAGGGCGAAGTTTCCCTCCAGGAGCTGTGGGACGAAGAGCACACACACTCAGACAAATTGTCTAAACACACACACACACAAACACACACCACGGCCACCAGGCGCCACATAAACTCTGACTGGGAGCAAAATACAGCTTAAGACTGCTGACATTTAACATAAGAAGAGCCAGTCGGACCAACAAAACTAAAATTACCATACTGTATATATTATGGGTGAAATTACAAAATGGTGGCTAGTGCAGTATTCAAATCACAAGAGGCGCAGTATTTGTTTCATGCAAAATATATGGACATTTCATTCTAAATAAAGGATTGTGCTGCAGCATAGATGTCCCGTATTCTTAGGACTTCATAAAAATCACACCATGATCATTTTAAACATATCTTTCAATGATAATAGAGTGCCACAGTGACGCGTCCTAAAACCCGGAAGTAAGCTAGCATTTTACCACTTCCGGTTCCTTCGCCAAAAAGCAATGCAATTTCTCCATAGGATTTTGGAAAATAGCTCGAAATAAGGTCTGTGGTTGACACACATTTAAGAGACGGATCACGTTTTGTTCAGCCGGATAATATCCACATGTCTTCCCTACTTTTATCATTTCGAATCATAAATCTAATCGCCAGAAGCAAAATGCTAACGTTATGCTATAAACGAACTACAGCAGGGTCGCTGCGTTTGTTTGAACAGTTTGCAGGAGGCAGGTACTTGCTTTCAAGCAGAACACGGGGAAAAACAAACTTAGCGGGAGTATTTACGTGTTCGGGTGTAATGACGTACAGCGGCCTCAACAACTTCTGTAGTCCTATTCAGCCACTTGTTAACACCATCGTTTTTCAGACACGTAACTCTTCAAAAATCACCAGTGGGGTCACTGCTGATGCATTTAATGTCGTAGAACAAAACGTGATCAGTCTCTTCAATTTGTGTCAACCACAGACCTTATATATGGAGAAATTGCATTGCTTTTTTGCAAAGGAACCGGAAGTGGTAAAATGCTAACTTACTTCCGGGTTTTCGGACTGTGGCACTCTATGAGACTAATAATGCAAAAATGACCTTTCCAGCAAATATCGTGAATCATTTAGCAATTGCAATATCAGTCAAAATAATAGCACTTAAATCTCAGAGTTAAATTGTATTTGTGTGTTTATATACGCACCATGAAAGCGAGAGAGGTAAAGAGGAAGACCATGATCAGTTTGACGTAGGGTCCGTGTCCCATCACCAGCCTGATCCCCTGGAAGAAACCCATGGGCTCCGACCGGGGACGAGAAGAATCTGGAGAGAGGAGAAACAGGAAAGAGTGAGCAAAGAAGCAAAATGACATCCACATGAATACAATCTTGTATTTCTTCTACCATGGTTTTTCAGTTCACTTAACATGAGGAGCGACCTTTCCTTGCTCTACTAGATTCCTATTTGCCACATCGCTGGTCAGGAGGGTACCAATTAGAAAGCCATAGTGGTACCACAACACAAGCTAAACTGTGCTTCCCTATTGGACTAGAGTGAAAACAGCTAAGCAACTTTAAAGACACAACTTTTGGGCATTTTATCTGGAGGTTGAACCTAATCCGAGGATCAGACAACCATAAACTCAGTCTCGCTTTGTTACACAAGAATTAACAGTTACAAATTCAAACCACATATTTGATTGGTCTGCTCTAATTGTTTAGTTTTTCCTCATTTGGCTTTCAATGCAAGTCAAAATAAGGCTATTAAACACCAATGGCATCCAAATCAAAGGATGAGATTTAAGGGATTAACGCCTCACCTTTTTGTTCTTTTACACCGAAGAAAAGGACGATAGCGCAGAGGACGTAGATGATGCTGATGATACCGGAAGAAATCATATAGGCCGTTTTCTGTGAGGACAGAACAAGAGAAGAAAACTTAGCATTCGTGTCCCAAATTTGACTTGAGTATTTCTTGTCGAAAAGGCTATCATTACCCCTCACTGTCAAGCATTTTTAAGTTTGTTTACCGTGTGATCCAGGGAAATGACAGGCTCGGAGCTATTGTGTCCGGCTAGCAGAGAGTAGTTGCTCAGATTAGCCAGGATGTCCCCGGGGCCCGGGAGGCAGGGGGCGTTGGCCATGCCCACGATCTGCCCCTGGATGGCTGTGCCCACCACAGTGCCCAGGACCTCCACCGTCATCCCTGATTGGAGGAAAACATGCGGGATGTTTAGTCTTTGAGGAGGCGAGTGAGGACTAGGAGAATAACCGTTTTTTTTTCAAATACATTTTATTGTGACTCTGAAACTCACTGTATGCGGTGGCTGAGTCTCTTTCTTTCTGCTCTGAGCTGATGAACATGGTGAGGGCAGAGTACGGCACATGGAAGCACTGGTTAGGAAAGAAAAGAGAAACAAGGTGAGAAAAAGAAATGTAGCTTTCATTTTTGGTCATGCATTTTAGTGAAGATGAGGGGAGTAAGTGTTCATGTTTTTGGAAAATGTGTTTAATTGCATTCTTATAAAAAGCCAGATGAGAAGATTGATACAAAACTCAGAAGTGGGTCGGCACCATTTTCTAACTATTTTGATATTCGGTAAATCCTTCAAGTAACTTTTCATGCAGAAATTACATACAATGTGGTTTTAGCCACTTAAATAATGGCAATTGCAAGTTTTTCTATGTTTTATATCATACATTAAATAGAGAAAACAATCAGCACAGTAATTGATCATTTAAACACATATATAGCTAAGATGGCGCCGCAGATGGCTGCTTCGATGTTTTGGTGCGCTCGGTTTTGTCTTGTTTTGTGCGTTAATTCAGTGTTTACATCAAGATTTTTTGTTTTATATTGTATGTATGTACCATGACATCAAGTCAAATTCCTCGTATGTGTGAACCTACCTGGCAATAAACCTGTTTCTGATTCTGAGTACAACCTTAGGATATGCTAACGAAATGTATGGACATTTATATCTTCAGGAAACATTGCTACACTTTGCAATGAATTTCATAGTAGGAGTATAGTGTTAACTGTAAAAGTGTGGATATTACACTATCTTGGGATCATAATACGTTATAGACAAAGTATTAGTCACTGGGAGTGTCTGCGTTTTGGTACTCACAGTTTGAAGGGACTGGAAGATGCAGTAGAACACAAGGTACCAGATGACTTTTCCATTCTCAAAGGGAGGAACATACCAAATGAGGAAATAGGAAACCACAGCCAGAGGGGTCGAGAACAGGATCCTTCATGTGGAGAGAGAGGAGGGTAGGGGAGAGGGACGAGACAAAAACAAAAACATCAGTGGTGATCGTGATTCTACTCGAGCGTGAAACTCTCTCCCTCTGTAAACAATTACCAGCTTTTATGAAAAGAGGGGACCGTCGTTACGTAACAAACTGGTCATTCAGTTACCCCTGGCTTTCAATCGGTGCCAAATCTTCCCTCACGTAGCACTGCTGGGTGTTTCACGGTGATTATCACTAATAGAGACAGTGTTTATTCGTAGTGACGTCTGTGGAACAGGTTGAGCTTGTGGGATCATGTAGGGCAGGGATGGGCGAATGGCGGCCCGGGTGCCTTGTAGTACTGATACCGTCCACTAGACTCCTAGTTACGTCGCGAGCTGCGTACATGATTTTGTTCGGCAGCCAAATACCACGAAATAATCTGTGACGCTTTGTGTGTATTGTGTTTCTTAACAACAGCCGGTGTTATGCCTGCTGTGAAATTAAGTTACCGCTTGTAATTATGCCTTTACAAGCTTCAAAGTTGTATTTATCATATGAATTTGGCGAAACAAGTTTAATATTCTGAAAACCAAGACTTTGTTTATTTGAAATCAGATGAAAACAAACTGTCACGGACCCTGCCGTGTTATCTATGATTACTATACGCTTTTCATTCATAATTTCAGCGGGAGGGAGGGGGAGCGGCGCTGAGGAACAGCAGAGTGCGGGTTGACAGGTGTCTGTGTTGACACTCCCCTTATTGTGCGTCAGCAGAGACAGGCTACAAGTGTCTTAGGTTCAAGTTAGACAACTAATGTCTGGGTTAGTGTTCATGACTTCATGTTTATGTCATCTTAATGGTTAATCTCAATGCACACACATTTTCCGTACTTTCCAATAGTTGTATTCCACTGTTAAATAACCTGTTCAATACAAACATGCCACTTGTAAAAATTAAATAACATTTCTGTGAACTGATATTTGTTTAGTGAGCTTGTTAGAGGATGTTCCCTGAAAGATTGTAAAATGTCAATGAAGATGTCAGACTTAGTATATTTGTTAATAATTACATACAACACATGGAATTTGTGTGTGTGTGTGTGTGTGTTCCAAGTGAATCTGCGGCCCCCTGGTGGCCAGTAAATCAATTATGTGGCCCCCACCACCATCCAAGTTGCCCATCCCTGATGTAGAGAATGCAGCTCATCAAAACCCAAACATACTTATGTCTCTTGATATTCAAATAACTGATCATCTTTGGTTACGCAATGCAGTGCAATGAAGCAAAGTCTATGTATGTGGAATATGTACGAATAAGTTCAAGTCATTTTAGTTTGTAAACACATCCTTGCCATCCTTTACTCCCCCTCCCCTGGCCTTGATATCCTGTGAATGAAGTCATTTTATCTGGAAAAAAGCTCGGATGGAATTCCATTCAGTCACTTCCTCGCCTCTGTTTACAACTTCCTATGGTCAGATGGAGACTCTCCAATCAGAAGTGATACAGTGAGGTCAGCCACACCTCTGATGGGAAATGAGAGACTGGATTGGAGTCTGTGGAAAAGGAAGCAACACGGGCATCCTGCTTGACGTCTTTTCTCAATGGGAAATCACTTTAACCTCAGGTGATGTACCCTTCGCAGGAAGTCACAAGTGAATGGAACAAAGGAAATAGCCTGCAGTACTTGTACAAACGACGTAAATTCTCGACACGTCTTATACTTATTCATACCGCTTTATAGTTAATTTGTATTGGCTGCTAGTAGACAATTCAATTACTGTTACACAATCTTCTACATATTTAATTTTTAAATACTGTTACTTATTGTTGTCGACCTAGATGAGTACATTTGTCAATTGTAAATTGTGTAATTTTTATCTTTTGTATGCAAGCTTATTACTTTATATTTTGCCAATTTTCTTTTGCTGTAAGAATGTTAACTCCCTCCTCTGTTGGACTAATAAACTAAATTCTGATTTCCGATCGAAATTCTCTGCAACAGAGCAGCATTTAAAGTCACTGCTAATCAAATTAAAGCCAAACTTTGATAATTGCCTAATAGAGTAATGTCATGAGGAGTGGCATACAGCAGAGTCCCCAGAGCATGTCATGTGATTAACTGTACACTCATGTGAAGGCACTGTGGGAGTGCGCAGGAGTGGTGTGCAAGTTATGGCAGATATATTTTTATCAGGAGATGACACTGCGTTAAGGAATGCTGTTTTTATTTTAATATCCTCGGTGCAATACGACACAGACCAAATCGGGCACGCTGCTTGATTTGGAAACGCCTCAACTTGAATTCCTTAGCTTTATTCCCAAACAAGCTATAATCAAAAACATAAAAGACTGAATCGTATCCCTTTTTTGTGTTAGCTGTTCTCAAAACAGTATGCAAGGTTAAACCAAGTCTTGCAGTGTGCAGTGACACAGTACGCCATATAAGAAGTGTCCTGACACCCCTCCTGGAATCATATTTAAATGTCCTCTTAAATAGCTGTGTTGACTATGGAGGGGGATTTCTTCTGTTAATATAGAAGGTGACAGTCAGGACATCCTTTAATGTGATTTTCTTCTTTTAATGGTACGGACAATAATAGTTTCTTTTGGCAGCCATCATTAGGCTGGGTGGGGGACTGAACAGCTGTGATAGAAAATGAAAATCAAGGCAATGTTCTGTTTTTCAAGCCTTGACTTCATGTTTTTCTTGCTCTCATAGCTTAAAAAATCATTAAAAAGCATGCTTATGTCCAATCTAATCATTAAATCAAGGTAGGTTAAAACACCCACTTCCTAACCATCAACAGACATGAATTATTTCAAGTTACGCAATACAAACTCTGGATGCATGACAGCCAATGCAACAATAAATAAATGTAAATGCATATTTGGGACATGTCTGTATTTCTGTAGCTACCTCACGACACACTCTGCAGCTTGAACTCTAATAAACTCTTGAATTCCTCAGTCAGTCTTAAAAATTCCTACCAGAACACTGAAGGCTGAAAGTTGAGACCTCATTGGCTCACACATGTGGTGTGTTTGGTTTGACCAATGAGGAGCCAGCCTGACTGCTCCACCCTCCCCCACTTCCTACACACGCAGCTTTTCACATGGAGCTGCAATTCTGCTTCTTCTTCCCTCATCGCAGCCGCCGCACCCCTCTCCTGACATCTTTACGACGGGCACGTTCAACCACATCACGTTCAGCTCTTTGCTCTTTCATCTTGCACATACAATACAATACCACCCCCCCCCCCCCCCCCCCCCCCCCCCCCCCCCACACACACACACACGCACACACACAAACCCACCCAACCACGCCCCATCTCTAGCAACGAATGGATGAGATGCTCAAGCAGCATGACCCACTTCTGAGACTCAGACATGAGCATTTTGATGTTGGCTGGAAATCTAAATAATGATATCCTGATCTCCCCCCCTCCTGCACATTAATTAAATTATACTCAATTAACGGATATGTATTTATGACGTCTATCCAAAGCTCTGCTATTTTTGCTAAAGTAATTTGAGGTGTACATCTATGTGTTGCTTATCTGTCAACATGTATAAATAAAATTATCCCAGTAGCTTCTATGTGGACATTAATAGATTTTAATAATATGAAATTCACTAACAACACTGTAGTCTTCAGAGCACTGACCATTTGTTGTAAAACTTCCATCTCAACTCGCAGAACAAGAAGCTATTTCGATCAATCTAACATATCTATGTGCCATTTCTTGTATTCGTGACCGCGGAGAGATATTTGTGAAACATCAGTTAGACTGCTAACCAACAGCTGGACAGGATGATCATTCCTTTGTATTCTAAAATTAATGATGCAGGTGTTCCCAATGCATGCACACCAAAGGGAACATTAACCCACGCGAGACCTTTAATGATCTCCAATCGTGCTCTCCTTACACACCGTTCACACACTCTATAACCAACTGGGGAGATCATGTTTGTAATCAAGCAGTGCAGTGAGTAAATATGCTGGTCTAACACTTATGTCCCCGTGGTGCTGGGATAGCTGCCAGAGATGGGCAGTAACTAAGTACATTTACTCAAGTATTGTACTTAGGTAAAAGTTTGATTACTTGAGTATTTCTCTTCTATGCCATTTTATATTTCTACTTAACTACATTTAAAAAAGGAAATAATGTAAACTACATTTATCAAACAGCTATAGCTACTTCTAACCAAATGCATCTCTAAAACTTCAACTAGTGGACTAACTCTTAAGTCACAAAAGAGTAAAATTATTTATATATTTTACAGAAAGATCCATCAGAACTGTGTTTGTCTGTAAAATGCTATTCACAAATTATATCTAGGAATGTCACATATACAAATATAATTATAAACACACATAAAGGCAATTTTTCTGCACTTATTACTTTTCCTTTTTATACTTCAAATACATTTTGCTTTTGTACTTTTACTTCAGTGAGAATTTCAATGCAGGACTTTTACTTGTCATGAAGTGACAATAATGTATTGGTACTTTTACTTAAGTAAAGCATCTGAATACTTCCTCTACCGCTGTTAGCTGCCAAAGCTTGTCTTGTACCGAGTCTTGTTGAAATGTCCCCTTTACCCCGGTCCCACTCCGGAGGTACTGCATGTCCCGAAATATCCAAAGGGACAGCAGCTCCAACTTATCTGGCGTGTTGACAGAGGGTTTCTGTAACCAGCAGCTGACACCTGGCACCATACTTCTCTTACATAACTGTGTGAATCGAACCATTTATACACAAGGGGCTGCAGTTTATCTGATCACAGTCTAACGGTTCGATATCCAGAAACAGACCGATAACTAAATGAGATTAACCCAGAGTGCTCAGGAATTGAGGGGCGGGGGAGGGGATATAGCAGCTGAAAAGGGTCGGCAACCTTTCTGTAAAAAAAGGCTTGAAGCCCACTAAGCCCCCCACACGCTCAGCTGCGTGCCACACAGACATAAGGCAACATTTGACATTAGTTTTACTCGTCACAAGGGGATTTCCCACAAGGAAGGGAAACTCAAAAGATAAGGGGTAATTAAAAAATAACGGCCCCTCGTGCAAATCATGCTTTATTTTGTTCCCCTCAATCTATTTACAATCGGCAAACAGTACCAGCTACCTCTTTAAATATTATAAGGTCATTTTAAAATATATACACTGCTACTTTTTTAACTATGGTGTCCTTATGTGCTATTTGTCTTTTGACGTATTGTGTTTTTTATTATTAAATAACGTGTGCATACTTAGTTATTTTTAATGTTTAAGTCTATTCTCTTGAAGTTATCTGCACTTTACTTCTGCTGTCGTAATAATGTGAATTTCCCTGCTGACAAATAAAGGATTTCTGATTCTGATGGTCGATTTGAACATATAAATGTACTATTACTAGAAAATGAGTACTTTCTAGAAAATGAATGTGTGCCTGCGGTAAGAGGCAGAGCCAGTAACAGGCAGGAGTTATATTTGTCAATGTCATACCAAAATCCCAACTGTGGGAAATGTGCAAGACTAGCTCTGGCAGGAACCCTATATTTGCTTGGTTAAAAAAAAAATAACCTCAGTGCTCTTGGTTTTAGTGGCCAGCCATAAAAAGTGAAACTAAAATCACTGCTCAGTAGATTTTTGTATGGCAGCAGCTGTGTGTGTATGCATTATTGTATAGCCATGCGAGTAGCAGCAGTTGTGTGTGTGTGTATGTGTGTGTGGGCATGGGAAATGAGGAAGCAGCAGCAATAATTGCCGCCACATGACCCAGAGTAACCCTTCCTGGAAATGACGCGGATGATTCAAAAACACTCTGCTCAAAAAGACCCGCCCCCAAACACTGACACGTGTAAAAACTTCCACTCTCTGCTCTGACTCACCCCCAGCATCCCATTAGCCATGTCTGCGTTATCTCAATGACGCATAACTGGGAAATTATCAACAGGGTTAGAAACATAGTCTGGCTCAAAATGGAAAGTTGCAGTGGGAGGAGGATGACCCAGAGAAAATGACCTATATGTTCTTAAAAGCTGTATAATGTGAATGTAGACCTACCAGGGCAGCATGCGTCCGAAGCGAGTCCATGGGCTTCTGGAGACCAGGAAGCCCACCGTGGGGTCTGTGACTGCATCCCATGCTCGGCCCGCGAACAAGATAATGGAGGCATGGAAGGGATCGAGCTGTAAGGAGAGAAAGAAAGGGTTAGTGCAAAATGTCATAAAGTTGGTCATTTTTTTAATTACAGGTTCCGACACATTAACGTTTTGAATGCTTCTCGTAGATACATCTAAAACCAACATGAAAGGAGGAAAACAACCTCAGTTACGTACGGAAAGAAATACTTTTTCCCTACTTTTATCGTAACATAAAACTGTTCTTCAAGTCTTTGCTGGCTAGTATAAAAAATAAATCTTTAAATTGTTGTTTTTTTAAAGACACAGGAGATATCGGGTGTTCTTTATGTTAAGGAAAAAAGACAGGGATTATACAAAAGTATGTTTTCTTTTTGCTTATTTATTGTGCGTTGGTTTTTTCACCATTGTTGGGTCACCAAAAAAAAGATTGAACTGTTAACTGAGTAAAATGATAAAAGAAAATACTATGTGACCCAAAAAAACAAAAACATTTTAAGATTCTTTTTAACAAATAACCAACAAGTTATTTTAAGTAAATAAATCTAATGTCTTTATTAAGGGAACTTTGGGTTCACATTCAATCAATTGCTACCATCAAATATTCTTCCAGCGTTGTGCACGTACGACATCCACACTGGAAACACTAAATGTCACGAGCAGCCGACACACTCTGTGGTTGTTTAGGGGAACCGTTAAGCTTTCTGATGAGCAGTCAGCAGTGAGGCTTGACAACATGACATTACAGTGAGTGGTGTTTAGTAATAAGTCAGTAATCACTTAGCCGGATAGAATCAGTGAAGGTGCCACATGGCAGCTCGGCCCGTCTGCTGTTCATTCATCTTGAATGCTCGACTCCTGACTGTACAATCAGCGCCATGCTGTGTCACCCAATAGACTTTTAATCAACAATCTCAGTAGCGAGACAAAGCAAAACCCTGGGAAGCAGTCGACTTACACGCTATCCTGGCCTTAACCATCAGATTAGTGTCAGAGCCCATTACAGCGAACCCTCCTCATCGCCTTTGATATCTCAACTGTCTTTTGCCTTCTTCTCTTACCAAAGTACTGTTAGATACACATTTTTGTATGCAAAACCTTAAAAGTAGAAAACGAAGTAGTTTGTCTGGATGAGTTTCTTTAAGATTGTGACTCTTAATAAGGCAGTTGGTAATTTCAAGCTATTTCATCTAAATACTGCACTTTTGATAACTGGTTTTTGCTTTTTTCTCTTACCAAAGTAATAATAGATACCCGTTTGAGTAAACCTTGAAAGTAGAAAAGTAGTTTGTCTGAATAGATTTTCTTTAAGAATGTGACTCTTAACCATCAGATTAATGTCAGAGCACATTAAAGCTCTACCATCGTTCCCCGCCTCAACCTTTTTCAGCCCCCGTAAGCCCCCTTTGATACAGTGGAGCCACACCATGGAGTCAATAATGGAAACTTTTTCCACCTCTTCATTTCAGGACAATCGCTCCCTTTGTTGGTGAGCTTTGGCAGTCACAATGTCCTGCATGTGATCATTTGAGGGCAAAGGAAAGAGCATGTAAACTCCTTGTCATCAAGTCTGTAAATGTCACCACTGGGGTATAGGAAGGACTGTATTGCATGTACAGTATGTACCCTCTCCCAGTGAGGTTTTTCTAGAGGACACGGGGGGCTATATTTAAGTCTGTGTTAGGAAAGTGACACTGAATATCTGGACAGGTGTTATCATGGGGTTTTGATCTCAACTCACCTGAGCTACGTCCAGGAGATAGATCTGCAGGAAGAACCCCAAGGCACATCCTGTGATCTGGTAAGGAGCTCCGCCGACGGCATAGCAGATCTTGTTGCAGACTGACAATCGGTTCCTGTTCTCCTTCTGGAAAAAAGACAGAAAAAAACTGTTAATCAAGGAAAATAACACTAAACGTGGAACCAGATCAAGACAAAGAAATAAGACATCCGTTCAACTACTTAGAAGATAATGCCTAACAAACCACATCCTCTAGGGTTATTACTCATTCAACATTAATGTACTTTTGGAGAAAGTGTCGTAAAGGTTAAGAGTTAGCAGCTGTCTGTGAACCTTTTCAGGCTAAGCAGGGACTAGCCCTTGTAATTATAGCAGGGTGTGATTCTGCAGAGTCGACATGCAGCAGTTCAACAGGGTGACGGCAATACAGCTGCGCATGGATATACTCCCAACAGGCTGATAAATAGGGAACTTTATCAATATCTACAATCTTCAATGTCTCCTAATTCTTGGAAAAAAATGTCCATGCTTTATAAAAGGACTGGGGCTCTCAATTCTATAGTCTCATTAGCAGTTTAGCTGGCAGCTTCCATGTAGCGTGTTTGGCAGGAGTCAGGGACAGCCACTGGGAAACAAGTAACCCATGGTTTTCTAACAACAAGTGCTCATTATTCTCCATTTTCTCCACTGTATATGTCCTAATCTACCCAACAGACAGACTCTTAACAACCCATCTAATAGCAACACAAATCTCTGCAGATTAGTGCCAGGGCATGACAGCATCATGGTGTCACACTCAGAAAACCAGGGTGATAACATCTTGGCACAAGCATAACCTTGCCTGCCAGTTTGACCAGTGGTCTGACCACTCGTGCCCACAGAGGGAGGACAACACACCCTCCTCCCTGACCAATCAAAATGTTGTTGCTCTTTTCAGGTGGTTTCATCACTGGTGAGGAAGAGGAGAAATAAAGCCTTTGAAAACCAAGAAAACATGTTTCAAAAGAGCATGGAAATTACCTTAACCGCTGGCCCAGTTAATAGAGTATATGTCACTGATATGCATGAGAAAGAACCAGACCTCATCTAAGATCAGACCACAACACAAAACATCCCTGTGACTGAATGAGCCGGCCTCTGTCTTGTTGATACACCTTTGTTTAGGTGACAAACAGCTCTCTGGCAGCATCACAAATAGAAGTAATTATTCAAACTTTAGCGACAGCACACAAAGGCTGGCTTGTTGATAACACAACAGTAACTACCTGTTGATTTAGGCCATATATATATATATATATATATATATATATATATATATATATATATATATTCATTTTGGTGAGTTGTGGGGTATTGAGGATCAAGGTTTACCCACCATATGATGCCAATTTCCCCCGAAACCAAACAATCCTCCTGTGAAGTGTAAGGCAGATGAATGTGGACATATTTGACTGTCACTGTGTGGGAGTAAACGTATTCATTTTTCCATACATAATGCTCCTACACCTGTTCTACCAGTGTGCATATCATAATAATTATGCCACTCCTAGATTTAAAATGACATTGCGGTGAGTGTTCCTACTTTGTCATGCAATAATGTGACTCTCTTCACATGGCTTTGAAGAAGTCCACTTAAAAACACTCCTCTCTGCATTACACATCCGAATTAAATCAGTAACAGAGTCTGCTTAACACCATAGACTGTATATATTAACACCAGTGTGTCTCTACTAGTGAGGTCTCAACAGTTGTCAGTAAACCCCACATGCCTCCTATTACTCTCTCAAAGGCTACTACTTGTGTTATCAGTGCTACCAGTAATGATATGTTATCACTGCAGTGCAGACACGTAGACACATCCTAAACAGACGGGATTTTCTGATTACTATTGCACATTATATTGTAATGGAAATAACGGAATTGCCAAAAACGTGAGGATGAGATTTTAGGAAATGCTCCTCTGCCTGCTCTCTGTCTGACACGTCGCCTTGGTGTTTGTACTCCCTTCTGCATTCAAAGCAGTTGGATATATCGATGTTATGCCCCAAAATGCACACCAAAATCTATTTAGCTCATGTTCTACACTCAGCAACCTAGGAAACCTTTAATGAATATTATGGTGAATACAAATAACTACAGACAGCGTTAAAAGGAGATCGCTGACATCATTACCATTACAAACAGTAGATACACATGGGGATGCAAATGATCTACTCCGCATTTCTCTACGACAATGCAAACCATTGTGTTACACAGAAAAATATGTTTGTTTTACTTGTTTTGGTATAATATAAAGGTGTGGTTATTTCTAAAGATGTAGGGGCTACAGAGGAGCCCCTGAACGCAACACTGCCATTTAAATGAATAAGCAGCATGTAGCCTATATAGCTCATATTTTACTAACCCTACAAGGTTTTTATGTGAGAGACACATTCCCAGCAGTAGTGCATTATGTTAATGCAACGGACATTAATTCAAATGCATTAAAGAGACCGTTATGATAAGGATTTTAGGGATTTAAACTAAGCTCTATGTGGCTGTGGTAAAGGAGTCCATCGAAAACCTCCCTCTACAGTCTTAAAATAAATTAAATGTACTATACTTAACCATCCAAAGCTTTGGTTTATATAATTTAAACGATTGGATGAATGTCTCTTAACGTTCAGAAGAGGCTTGGTAGCTGTGGTGGATTTATTGACTGAACATTAACAATATTCAGTTTCACATTTGTTTCGATGATTATATTAATTAACTATGTAAATGAGTCACATTTATGAGAAATATTGTGCAACTCCAGTGGCAGTGTGGTTGATTATATCACAATGAGAAACGCGCCTATTTACCGTTTCTTCATTGAAATGTCACTTCACCGATACGTTCCATTCATTCAAATCTTCAACACGCAATCCCCTAAAACCTCACTTCCTCATCATCTCCTGTTGCCTGTTATCGATTTAAAGACCAGAAAAATGGCAAAAAGATCATTCTGAATGAATAAAACAACTCACCTTTGATGAGAGCTTGATACCATCCGAGTTGTCAGGTTTATTCAATAAACTGGCGTTTGAGTATTGTTCACTCCCTTCTCCTTTTGCCATAGCAGTAAACGCACTTTTCTTTAATTGGGAAAAATTAATTGAAGAAATATCAAACAGGTCTTCCGAAAAGATTTGAGGATAAGGCAACGCGTCCTGTTGTATCGTCGTGGTCTAATCTCTGTTTGAAAGTGGAGAGGCAGAAGGGAGACGTAGTCATTTAGAGCAGAGAGGCCCCGCCCCTCCCCTTCACCCCATATCTAACCCCGCCCCCCTGGAGGCGGGGCTCAGTCAGGCGGTGTGTCCGGGTGTGACGGATCCTGCTTTAAATACATCACCATCACCATCACCATCATCATCATCATCTTCATCTTCTTCATCATCATCATCATACAGTGGTGGAAGAAGTACTCACATTATATACTATATCCAGTGGTGGAAGAAGTACTCACATTATATACAGAGGTGGAAGAAGTACTCACAATATATACTATATCCAGTGGTGGAAGAAGTAGGACTACTCACAATATATACAGAGGTGGAAGAAGTACTCACACTATATACAGAGGTGGAAGAAGTACTCACAATATATACTATATCCAGTGGTGGAAGAAGTACTCACATTATATACAGAGGTGGAAGAAGTACTCACATTATATACATATAATATATACAGATATTTCTTCAATTATTATTATTTTTTTTTAACGTATTCAATTATTTTTTGTTTTGTTTTAATAAAACTTTTTTTTCATATTAAATATCAGTATATATGATTTTTCAAGTTAGATTTTATGATTGTATTATGTATTATATTCTTTTTTATTTATTTGTATTCTTTTTTTATTTTATTATTATTATTTTATTGTATTTACTTTGATTGATTGATTGATTGATTGATTGATTTGATTGATTGATTTCTTATAAATACATTAAAAACGGTATCAGAGTGAATATGTTCCATAAAATCTTTTACATATATCTTATATACATTTTTTAAATATGTACTGCTGTAAATATCCTACATATTCCTGCACACCATACAAACAGACATTTGAGATACCGTAACATAACAAATATTAAATAAAAATTCTACAATTGATGGAAAGAAGCAGCTATAAAACTTCACAGTCCATATATTATGTCTCTACTGGTCCGTGAAATTGGGCTATATAAATACACTTTATTGATTTATTTATTTATTGATTGATTGATAATCAGCCTACCTGGTAATGTCACCAACATTTACAATTTCCAATGTATTAAGAGATTTAATATGCTCTACGACGTCACATGTGTCAAACTCAAGGCCCGGGGGCCAAATCAGGCCCTTGGTGGATTTAATTTCGGCCCGCAGGATAATTTTTAATTACTATTAGATCTGGCCTGCCGGTATATTGCACGCACACCTTCTCTCAATCCTGAGGATTTCCTCAGCTCAGAGCCTGACCCCAAACATTGATGAACTTGCACCCAAGATGAGATGCCAAGTATCTGGCTTGAACTAGCATCACAGAGCAGCACACTGAGTTTACATGGATGTTTCCTTCTGCACTTTCTTTCTTGCGACAACAGGGCATGTTTGGTTTTTTCTTTGAGGGAAATAGTTTTGTTGAAGCTGTTGTTGGCCTGTGGAGAAATGTAATCATAAGAAATGACTCTGGAAAAGCTGCAGATAGAGCCATAAGAAATGAATGCAACTAATTATTTAATGTTTAATGTTGTTTTTATAGGCAATCATTTAAGCTTTGTTAGTTCCAGGTTTAATATGTGCAATAAGTTCATTTCAATAAGTTCTGCAATAAACATTGAACCAGTCTGGCCCTCGACTAGTACCCATTTTTTAATTTTGGCCCACTGTGTATTTGAGTTTGACAACCCTGCTCTACGTGTACACACTTCTTTGGCACGAATTGTGTGTTTTGAAAAAAATAAGTTTGTTTGTGTTAGTGCTATCTCTGGTCATGCTCTGATATAACCTCAATGAAGACGATTCAAAGTGACCGTTTTAACACATTTTTATTACGGACACACATATGTGCTAAATGGGAGCATTGCACAACATTCCTCATGTGTGGCAGAACAAACAACAAGTTTTCTCATGCGGCAGGCGGGAGTTTGCTCGCTGCCTGAGGGTCTCTGAAACTCTCTAACTCTCAGGCCTGTATTTGCTCGGCGTCTTCTGTTTTTCTTATGTTCCCTGTTTAGCTGAGCACACATATACAGTACAGACATGCAGTATGCACACACCACCACTAGTCTGAATACTCACCTTTGTGTCCGCTCGGGACCTCTGGGCTGCAGGAGACCTATAGATATTTACTTATGGGTAGCCTATGCATGGAGTCAGTCTTTACTTCTGTACACACATTTCAACTGGCCTCACTAGGTAGACGCACACACACACCTGCCGCCTCCCCTAGATCAAACACACATTCACAATGCAGCTTTATCTCTGAAAGAGTTTACACCGATTTGTTTACATCTACACCTCTTAAAGGGACTCTCCAAATTGTATTATTAAACTTCTAATGATTGAACCCTGAACTTGCCAACTGTGCAGTCAAGTCCAGACCAGATGCACCCATGATGTCTAATGGACAAATCAATGTGGGCAAACATGCCGCAGATTAGATAAGACAGTATTTCTTGGCTGAAGTTGTGCTGGTGGATTTAGGTTCAGTGACAGTTTTACTGGTGAATACGTGTTAAATACAGATACCCTAATAAAGAGTGTAATAAACAGTAAAACCATTTAGACTATTCAAGAAGATAACCAGTGCATGGTGTAAAAGAAACATGTTCTGACAATCATCTGCTCACCTTTGAGCTTATTTCAATCTAATTATAAAATGTTTTTTGTAATGCTTCTGGTGCAACACATGATAAACGTTACTGGCCTGTCTTAAAACTGTTGCAAAGTGTGCATGTTGAAATACTTCTATCTGCCAAGGAAGGACATTTTGACAAATGCCAAAGACAAAATTGCAAGACTTATGGACAAAGGTTGATGTTAAAAGAAGGTCTCAGATTGTGTAATGACACAAAAGCAGATATCTTACATCAACTAAAACATAATGTGTACAAACAAATGAAAAGCGACTGACTTAGTGAAGTTCAACCCACTTTTCTCTGAGTGTAACTGGGCAAATTCAAAAGAAAGAAACTGTTTATGACCTTTCGTTTTACAAAACAAAGTTGAATTCATGACAAAGAAACAAGCCTTTGCTCAGTTCTATAGACCCTACAGCTTGACTTGGTCTAATGTGGCTAACGGTGATGAATGGTATCTAATCTTAAATATATATTGACTTGTAAATTATTATCCTGAATCACATGATAATCACGCCTTTCCTGTTTTTCTCTTACAAAATGAGAAGTTGAATTTATTCGCAGTCGATCCAACTTTTTATGGATATTGCTTCATAGAATACTGAGCCAGTTCACTGACCTTATGTCTCTTGTTCTAATGTAACACTAGTGTATCTCTCTTAGATACCTTATACATATTGCTGGGGTGGAACAGACATCACTGAGCCAGATCACTGACTTTGTTGTGTTGCTTGTTGAGGAAAGAAAAAAAAGTAATTAGAAATCCTTCATTTAGTCCCGCAGCGAGGAAATTCACAGTCTAACAAAAAGAAAAAAGAGAAGACTTAGCAATTAAATATAGATGCAAGCTCACGTTAAAAAAGATTATAAAATAAAGAAATAAGCAGCAGCATTTAAAAAACGTAAGTCAAAGTCAACTTTAATGTAATTTTTTCTGTGTGTTTGTACAGACAGAGAGATCGTAATATCGTTTCCAACAATCCAAGTAAGTGAACAAAAGGTGTTTAAAGGGGTCTGTAATAATCTCAATTCTTGCCCTGTAATTGTCACCCTGCCTTCACACATTTCACACATTTTGAGCCTTTGTTTGAGCATCTTAGCTATGGACATGCATTTCATTACCTGAAGGTTAATACACACAGTTTGCATAAGGCTGATGAATGTTCTGTTCCTCCAAAAGTTAAACCTAAACCAAGCTGAGGGCTTGTGCTAATTGATTAGAAACTAAAATATTTTTATTTTTATTGCAACCATGACAAAGACTGTGCCGTGCACTCTGCATCCTGGGATACCTAACCCAGAACCCCTATCCAGAAACGTCCCATGGATCACCTTACCTGTCCCATTTCCTCTAGCTTCGCTGAAAAGGCACAAGAAATGGAGTTGCTGGGTGTAACTTGGAAGAGATTTTGTAATGATTCAAATATTGTTTTGTGGTTGGCTTGTTATGCGTTGACTGTTGAAAGATGAGTGCAAGCATGGACACAGTCTGGAAAATCTTGATCTCTGCATCGGCACAACAATTGCAAGCCCAAGTAATTTGGCATGAGTTTATATGGGTGTATTTATGTGTGTGGGTGTTTGTGTGTATTTGTTTGAGTGTGTACTAACTGCTGTTAGAGTTATAAAAGATAACATAACGTCATATTGACAAGGACAGTTCATAGACACATTGGCACTTGTTGGCAACTGCAACATGTACAGGCGGTTTTATTGTGTGTCTGTGTGTGTATGTGTGCACTTTGTGTAGGAATAGAGCCTCGTGACTGTGTTTATTTGTTGTCAAACGCAGTGCGTGTGAAAGTTTAGGAGAGAAATGCAATGCGGTGAATGCAGGGGTCGAGCTTTGAGTGCGTCAATCCAGCCACCGGGTATACATAGCTACAGGTGGTATGGAAACTTAGATGGGCAGGCAATACACACACACACACACACACATGAAGACACACACAGAGGGGAGTTGTCATGTGCCTTGAGTCCAGGATTTCAGGTATTTTCCCATGAAAATGGGTTTCAAAAGATATTCAATCATCTGTAAAGCAGTTGATCCTTGGTCACTTGGTAGTATCAAATAGGTGTCCAATTAAGTCTGCACAGTATGAAATGTTCGGTTTTACCTCATTCAACTTTACATGCATATATATATATAAACTTTATTTATTCCTGTTTATTCCTGCTTTTTACTTACCACCGTTATATAATTTGCATCGTTAAATTGCACTTTTTAACGTCTTTTTGTGTCTTAAGTACACTCTATGTTGCATTGTTGGAGGAGCCTGGAATTTTAAGAGGCCCTATTATGCTTTTTGAGGTTTCCCTTTCCTGTAGTGTATTATATA